ACACGGTTTGCTAAGTAATTAACTCGTTTGACGTATCAGTTCTCCGTTTACTGCGAATTTATAAAGACACAATGATTTTCGTTATTAACGATTAACTGCATTTTTTGCAGAACCAAATTACATTCGCCCATCGGGACCCGAGAGTTGTACATATATATTTATACATTCTTTCATTATCCTGTATCATTCGGTCGCAACTCGCATCGGGCACACCCACAAGGTGTTAACCGTTTCTTGCTCGGCTCAATTAACTGGGATCGATAAGTTTGGCAAAAGATATTCCCTTCTCTTCTTCCCTTCCGATTGCCGTATACGGCCGTATCGATCGTATAAATTCAAAAATGAAAATAAAAAGGGGACGAATGTTCTTCCCGTCACAGGCGCCTTGCAATAAAGAGTTCATCAGGGATCCCCCGTGCGGTCGAGCTTTGTCGTGCTCGAAAATCGAGTTTCTCGTTCGATATATACGTAGGGGCCACCTCCATGGCGGCGCCCATGACGTCGTCGATATACGACAGAACGGATGCGCCGGTTGGTGGAAGAATGGCGAGCGAGGGACACACGTCGCCGTGTTCCTCTCCGACAATATGCCGGCTGCCTGGAAATCGCGAGACGATCCAACACCGGCGGCGTCCGGCGGGCTGATTGGACCGTATTTGGTTGTAATTAAGGCACCGGCGGCGGCCATTAGCGAACCGCGAAAACGAACAACATTGTTCGGTGCGCACCATGCGTAAATCAAAACCGCATTCTATCCTCTTCTCTTTCAGGATTATTGCACTTGGTCCCTGCTTAGCATCGCGCGAAGACAAAACGTGATACCGCATAAAAAAACCTTGAAAGAATATTTCTCACACATTTCCTCCATTATTTCTCTAAATTTTCTAAATTTAGACTTCATTTTCTAAATTTTACTCTTTCTAAAAAACTTTTTATAAAAAGAATTAAGCAAAATTATTTTCTCCATTGTTATCTTCTATTTGTACAGATCATTAAGATTTTTTTTGTTTTATAAATGTATGCAATAATTATTCAATTTACTTTAAAAATCTATTAGAATCTATAGAAATAATTGCAACATATTTCTATATCGAAACAGATGGGGTAAAAATCGTCGAAATCGAGTATATATATAATTGGCAGTATAAATAAGAAATAAAATAATATCTTTATTTTACTTTGAAGTGTTTGATTATCTATATTTGCACGCTCCACTTCTCGCGAAATCAACCAGGCACGAATGGCTGGCAAAAATTTATTACGCAAAGTCGTTGGAATGATGTTACGCGAAACTTTTCTGCCGTATCGAGAGACGAATATGGCAACAATACCCTTCGACTCGCATAATTGGCGCTATGGGCGCCCAATGGAGCCACCTCGCGACGATGCCGGGAGGGCCGTCGGCGCGGGATGAAGAGATTTACAATGTTCTCGGTCGTAAAATAATCAATAAAATCTGCGCAATGTAAAGAAACGGACGTGCGGCAGTGATTTAGTATGCGGAACGCCGGGCCCCATCGTTCCTCCCCCCTCTCTTGTCCAGGGTAGTTTTCTGAGGTCCGTGTCCTTAAGGTCTGGACCAATCTAGACGGCGGCCTATGAAAAACGGATCATGAGGCGTCCCGAGAAAAGAAAGAAATTTAACTGAACTCGAATTGAAATTAGACGAGCGATTTTTTGTTACAATTACATTTGCCAACAATATAATTTCTAATAGTTTATTAGCAATCACACGACGTTGAAGAATTATCGGATAAGATATGTACAAAAGTTGACGTCTACTTTATATATTATTATTAACATAACAATACTTTTATGTTAAATAAGAAATTAACATTGTAATATAATCTATGGCCGCCTAAATATTGTTATAAAATTATCGAGCATTTTTAATTGCAAAACTTTATTGATTTGAATTTAAAGAAGTCTTAAATAAACTTTTTCAATTAATTTCAAGTAGATTTCGCTGTAGTTTTAGTTTTAAATTTATAAATTACTCTCGTGGGTAATGAAATATTTATGGTTTAAAATATTCTGTGCAATTATAATTTTTTTTTCTTGAAGCCGTGGTATATTATACAAGTAAAATAAAACTTCTCCCTTTAATATATCGTATTCCTCGAACGCTACTCGAATTCAGTTCCTAAAGACATATGATCGATTGCGTTTACTGAAAAAGGAAATATACACGTAGGCCATATGTCGTCGTCGGAGTGGAAACCAATTAGAAAGGGGCTAAGCAGGAGTCGATGGTCGTTTTGAAAAAGCGCGTCTCATAATCGTGCGCTAATTCATCAGCGCGCCCCATTTGCGAACGTAAGTCACCCAAATGATCCTATAGCATCACCATGCAGATAATAGGCGTGGCACCGGCTATTTTGAGCGGTGTGTATCTCGGTTTTACGAGGCGTTAAAGGCACCGTGACCGATGACGGAGCCAACTAACAAGTTCTCACAGATAAAACAAAGACATTCGACAAATTTTGATATTCGCCCATTTATTGTATTATTACGAGGGATTATAATGCCCACAATTCCAAATCGGAATTTCAAGAATTATAGCGCGTGTGAAGTTAGCACCCCAACAATAAAATTCCATAGTTCTAATTAGAGTTTCCGATTCATTTTGAAGAGACGAAGAGTTTCCTATGGTTTATACTTTATAACAAGAGTTCTGCTTAATAACAATTTTTAATTTAAATTTAAAAAATGGGTTCCTAACTTCACGCATGCAGAATTATACTCGATACTTTGTTGGACGTTATAGTATATAGATTTGTCCTTATTTTGTTAATCTTTTTTAGTCTTGCTTTTCGTTTCGATTACTTCTTTGCATTATTATCTAGCTTATTATTATCTAGCATATAATTGCTTTTAGCTAAATAAATTGAAAGAAATATTCTTAACAATTAATATTATTTTTATTTTATGACAAGTATCATTTTCATCAGTAATCATTGTAAACTTTGCAAAAATTATGTTGCTAATGTTCTTGCTTTTATTACTGTTCAGTTTGTTATTGCTTTTAATATTGTTTTCTTATCTTATTTAATATTTATTTTTTAATTTGAGTACGTAATAGTTTAGACAATTATTATTACAATTTTTTCTATATCTTGCTTAAAAAATATTTTTTTTACTTTTAATTATTTAATTTTTCTATCAATGAACTTTCCATTCTTGCATCTCGTTATCTAACTGTTACTACGATATTTTGACTTACTTGATCATCAATTAATCGAATCGAAGGCATCCTGGATGTGGATAATGCCTTAAGTTTCCTGTGGGAAATATAGCGTGATTCGCCTCGGGGTTTTGCGGCGGGAGCCAAGTATGGTGACGAATTTACGAGCTCCTTACGAGCAAAGGCCTGCCCTCTTCGTGAGCATGTAGCGGGCAATAAAGTACGAGGCCAGAGGATATTCGAAACAATCGGGCCGAGGCAGGATCTATATCGGCTTGCGAAGGCGCGGATCAAATTTAGGATTGATTTACGAGTGATCGCACGCCGGTAATTAACCTCCGTTTTCCCTCACTAATAATCCATCGCTCACTCTATTTACAGAGCAGTAATGATTTCTCGCGGATAAAATTCAGAAATTGTTAGAATTGATCATACGACAGAGTATACGTTGTATAACTAAATACTAAATGATTGATTGATTTAGAATGTAGCTTTACATAAAAATTAAAGACTACTAAAATATATAAATTTAGAGAGATCCTAAGCAGAATAATTCAAATTCTGCTATTAAAATTGAATGCAAATAGAAATTAATGTATGAATAAATATATAAATTATATAGGTCTTAAGATATTTAATAAATTAATTGTTAGCAAAAATAGTTTCTAATTTTTTACAGTTATAAAACTACATAAGACAGAAAACATTAATTTTCCTGTATATAACTGTTAGTCTTATATGCTAAAGTGAGATAAATGAAATAACTCTAAATTCGTAAATTTGATGTAAGAGCTTTTTGGAAGTTTAAATTAATAGTTATTAATAAATCCGCCATTGGCCATAACCGGCCAATGACGAAACGGCTTTACAATGATAAAGCGAAATGATAAAAATCTACAGCTAGATTCGCAATAAATACGGGGGAAGCAGGAAGTATTTGAGCGGAGACGTGTTATTACGAGCTCGGTGAGAGTAGGAGAGGGATGTAGGGAGAAGAAAGAAGAGAGAAAGAGCCGTTGAAAGTTTTACTCGTTTTTGCACAGCGAGATTCTCGCTGCCGATTGGTCTTCTCATTATGCGGCAATTAAACAACATGGCGCCCGCAAAGGCTCGTTCAATTCGTTCGCTTAGCGCGGCGCTAGTCATCGGATACGGTATATTGGAAGGCCGGCATTGAAATCTCCTGCTACAACTATAAAGAATATTTCTAGTCGCGCGTAATAATGGAATTTAAGAATATAATAAGTTATTTCTATAATAAAATATCATGATTTAAGTTAATACTTCTGTTCATTAGGCATAGGCAATCTGCACGACTTTATATTTTAATTCAAGTATATATTAATATAGTGTGTATGTGTATTGATATATTAATTATTATTGAATACTTTTTTAATATTAAAATTTAATAAATTATAATAAATTAAAACTTAATATTCAATATTAAAAATAAAATAATAAATTATATTACTTCTAAAAATAATTAGTTTCTCGTATAAGAAACTAATCTATATAAGAACTGATTAATGAAAAATAACATTTGTTATTTTTTAATGTGTTATTATTCAGTGCGTACACGGAAAGAACGATTTTGTTGAAAGGTCTAAAAATTTTGCTAAAAACAGATCTAAAAATAATTTTTTGTTGAATCATCAAAATAATTTGTTGGAATGTTAAAACTGATAAGCATATATTGCTATAAAACGTTTTGATATTTTAGCAATCACTTTGACTTTTGCACAAAATTATTTTAATTATTGAACAAAAATTATTTTTAGATTTTGATTCACCAAAATTGTTCTTTCCGTGTAAAAAATAAAATTAAAAACTTTTATTAACAAAATTATTATAACAAAGTTCGTAATATCACAACGTGAGTCTAAAGTTATAAATTATTAATTTTTAATTAATTTGTGGCGTAGTCCTTGAACATTGGATTGGAGAAAGTCGATGTAGCTTGTTTGTACAAGGGATTCTCGCCCTGAAACATTTCGACATATTGGCGTTTCACTAATCTTGTAGTCACGGGATCGGAAATAATGAGGAATAGCGACTCACTCTGTCCCATTTGGCGAGGGCGCGCTCCTTCTCAAACTTGGCATATTCCCTCTTGTCGTGGATGCTCGTGAGGATCTTCCAAATGAGGAGAATCAGGAAACCGATGATGACGGTGCTTATGACGACGCCCAGCGCAACACCTACGGGAGAAAGTAAATTCTAGTCCATCTTGTATCTTCTCACATATGTTCCATCGTATACGTAAGTGCAACCAACGCACGAAAATACTGATATTTTCGAACATCATTGCATAAATGATAATTCAGATTATATTTTAAAACATTGTTTTTTAGAAAAATTTTACTAAAAATTTATAGCATACGTACGTAACATAAATATAACTTCTTAATAAAATTTTCCTCGAAAGTACAGTTTTTGAATGTAGGATTAGGAAGAAAGAAAGATAGAGAGAGAGAAACAGAACAGAATAGGCGTAAAGTAATAACATAAAAAACATTAGACAATTTTTGAAAAATATGTTATATGCAGATGTGCATTATTAATCTTATCATGTAATTAATTAATCGTTAGTTAATTACATAATGAGATTAATAACGGTTAATTAAACCGTTTAATGTTATTTATTAATCTTGTTTAACTTATCGAAGAGATTATAATGAGATATAAATTATGTTATTTTGTGATGAAGGTGCCATACAAAATATAATTATATAATTCATATAATGAGATAACAAGATTACCGAAAACGTTAATGGGCGTTGGGCAAGCTCTTTCTTGCTGGGCTTGAATCTTGAAGATTTTAATATCTCCTCCAGTACCGGCTCTGTGATATTGGTATTTGAAAATAAACGTGCAGCCTGCATCCCCGGGTGTTCGACATATGCGGGCATCGGCTTCCTCGTCTTTCACAGGATCTTCCTCGACAGTATCAACCTACGAAGTAATAAGCAGTCCATTTGCATTCCATCGCAAATTATTATAATCACCCTCGTGCAACTTACGAAGTAGATATGTTATCGCGAAGTAGATCTATCGCTATTACGAAGTAGATATATAGAAGAAAAGATACTAACAATATCTATTTGATGCATGCACAAGTCACACTTTCCGTTTTTCGCGAGCGGTCCTGCGTTGTACGCTACGCACTCCACGCAGTCCTTCAGTTCCTCGCATCGTTGTCCTGGACATGTCTAAAATATGTTATAAATAAATAACTGTTTTGTAAAATTAACCCTTCGTTGGTTTGGTAATTTTTTATTGCTTATTTTAACACATTGGATCTGTGCAGAGACTCATCAGTAACTTTCCTGATATGTCCTTATTTGCACATCAATAAATGAGTTTGTGTATTTTATAAATATTATAATTTAAAGTATACAAAAGATAATCAAAATATAAATTTGTTTTAATCGTTATTTGAATTAGATTTTTAATGGTTTTTTTTATTGTAAAAAAATAGTGTTCCAATTTTACAATTAAACAAGTTTTGTACTATAAGAAAAAAAAAGTTATATATGCACAATAATCAAGATTCGATAATTATGGGTTCTTGTAATTTAATAATAATAACTTAAATTAGACCTCTGTATGTGAATTTTAAAATGTTTTTATCACATTTTGTTTTCTTATCACACAAAAATTGTGTTTTTTTATCTCGTGTTACGTCACAAAACGCAACTCTTTTATCAAGTTTATTTTTAAAAGTTTCATTGTTCAGTTAGCTCTCCAAAAATGTTTGTGAAATATAGAAAAGATTAGTTTTATTTTTTTTATTTTTACAAAAAATTACTGATTTGTCTATCTCTTATAAACTTAAAATGTTTCACAAATTTATAAACATCAATTTTCTTTACTTAAAATGTTCTCTGTCTTTTACATTTAGGTTTTACAAAGCCTGCAGCAATAATTATGTTTACTCTCTATGTCAAAAGCAAAAACAGATGAAAAATCTGATTGTTGCAGGTTGCTGTTACTAAACACTTTCTAAAACTTTTTTTATGCATGGCGGCTCCAATCTTCAAAATTCGAAAATCTTGAAAACACACATAAATAATTGTTTCTCTTATTAATCAATTTGACCCAATTAAATGCCAAACTAGGATTTAAATATTTTATTACTAAAAATTCTGGAACACATACATATAATAAATGCAAAGAGATGAAATGTGCATTTTCTAAATGCATCAATTCGTAAAAATCAAATGAAATAAGTAAATGTAATAATCAACAATTTAAATAATTTAATATGTCCATAGAGTATAAATAATATGTTTAATTTTAATTTTATTCTCGATCAGAAAGGTCTTCACAGATATATCATTTTCTTAGTCAGCCATATACGCGTTATGCACAATAATATTAATTTCATGTGAGACTTGTATGCGACTTGTATGCGGGTAATTGATTAGATAGATATAGAAATTTCAATGTAAAAACATTCGCGCATCCCTTTTTAGCCGTTTTTCTTTAACTTGTTTGTTGGAAGGAATCGTTGGTCGATTTCCTTACGCGCAAACACTCACGGGACACTCCTCGCAGTATTGTCCGGAATATCGGATATTGTCCCGCTCGTAGCAATGACAGCTGCCGCAGATGCAGATGCCGCGTCCGCTGCAAATCTCGACGTTCTCGCCCGACGGCGGGATGCATGTGCTGTTGGTCTCCTTGCAATCGCACGTTTCGCCACCCCATCCCGGCAAGCAATTGCAGGTACCGCATTCGCACTTGCCCCGTCCGCCGCAGACCTTAAACGGACAAAGAAGAGACGAATGGCGAACGTAATGGCGTACGTACAAAGGCGTGTAATTTGTCCTACCAACCGCCCTTATAAACGCCGCTGCCGCGCCCGCTCCAAGGCAAGATTGCCGTGTAACTTCCGCGCGAATTTGTTAAAAGTAACTATCAAGCGAGAGCACGATAGTTACGCGCGATAATAGAGATCTGCTACCTCCTTGGCTACCTTCTTTCGAGCATGTAATTTTTATTGTCTATATTGGCGCTAAATACTTATATACTCGTATATATATATATATATATACAATATGCTATTAAGTAGAAAATCAATATTTTCTACTTAAAAGCATTTCTACATATTGAACTATCTTCAGTATAGTTACAAGTAAACAATTTTTACTATAATATATAAAACATGAATTTATGTTTAGTTATATAATAGAATCGTGTATAATATATGTTAAGTGTTTTTATTAAAATACTATTAAGTACTTATATTTTGCGAAGAGTATTATATTATAGATTTTATCTTCGATTACGTTAAAATCCTACATATTTTGCGATCGTATCGTTAATTGCAATAATCTGTTTCTAATTGTGAGACATACCTGGCCGCCACTGCGTTTGCAAGAGAAATTGTCGCATTCGCAGTATTTCCCGTAAAACAATTCTTGCGGATTGTTCGGTCGTTTATCGCAGTCGCAGACACCACACTTGCATGTACCATGGCCGCTGCAAATCTCGGTGGTTTCATTATCGGGTTTACAGTCGATCAGCGAGATCAATTTGTCAACACCGACGTCGCTGCCCTTGCATTCGCATTGCTTCCCATAAAAACCGGGATTGCAGGAACACACGCCGCACATGGACGTACCTACATGATTGCATTCTGCTGCGTTCAGCTGATATTCCTGTTTCGCGAATGACGGTTTAAAATTTAACACGAAAAGTTATAAAGCAATCAGTATTATGCAAATTTGATTGCTCTTTTGAAAATATAAATAATGTCTTTTAATTGTATATTTTGAACACATTATATACGTAAAATGAATTTGTGCTAATTAAAAAATAGATTTTTTAGTTATTATTTCGAGCTAGTTTCTCTGCTTTAGTATATTTACCGGATGTCCAGGTTTCTCACAAGGACAGTCGCATATAATTTCTACGTCGATAGTCAAACTCTCACTAAGTCCTCTAGGCATGATCTCCATAGTTTGATGCCAATCCTTTGGATCTTCGGGACATTCCACAACCTGGTATCAATTAAGCCGTAATGAATCATATTGCTAATTGTGTGAGAAAAATATTTTCAATTTATTCGTGCACCTTAAGAACAATTTCAAACTCAATAACGTTGCCTACGCGAAGTCCTCCACATTCCTGACGCTCCAGCAACTCACCCGTTTTGTTTAAACATCGGGAGAAATATTTAATGTCGATCATCTTCGGCGCTGTATCGATTATCGTTACCGAGTCCACTAGTTTCTGTAAATTATATCAACATGATTATTATCACTCTTTCATCGTGTGCCCAGTTAGATAAAATAAGCTAAGTTAGTCTTCTAAAGTGAAATGAAATTATTAATTAATTTTCTATTAACTTATTGCGATTATGATACGAATTGAAATGTGAAACATAGGAAAATAATTTCCTAATATATAAATTGATAATTATATGTATTATAATAAAAACGTAATTGTTGATTACAAATACATATAATTACCTCGTATTCGCCGCTCACTAAAGCAACAACATTCTGCGAATCATTTTCTAGAGTTCCGGTTGAGGATCCGCTAATACTACGGCTTAATTGCTGATAAGCCGTATTTTTGTGATCAGGAACGGCGAAGATAATATTCATATTGTGCTCGCGCGCTTTTCTGTTGAGCTAAACGAACAAAAAGACTTTATTGAAGGTTTCCTTAAACGATTAAATTCATAATATATGTGTAAGTAAATAATACTCATGAAGAACGAAAGTAAGCAAATTATACTCGTTTTGTTCTTACCTGAGAAATCGATGGGTAATCCTGTAGAAGGGAGTGAGTGTAGAATCCTCTCTCGTCCAAATGGCACTTACAATCGTTGGGCTCCACTATTCCTGCAAGCTGAAAAAACAGTTAAGCAGTTATTTTTTTATCTTGAAGAAATTTTTACTACGGTCGGTTTATCTCGTGTTTCGCTTGGTTCACATACTTTACCGTCCCCGGCGATATGAAAAATCGCGTCGGTCGAGAATACAATAAGATGACGAGATTTTTGGCGCCAGCCGATTTCCTTGGTGCATACTATGACCTGCATAATCGCGTCGAGCCCGCCTTCGGGACCGTCTAGATTACCTGACACCGGCGCCGCTTGTACCTGATCCTATTTGTTATTATTATTAAGATTATTTGTGTTTAACAGATAAAAAATAACTACATGATAAAATCAAAAATGCACTAAATGAAGTTTCACAAGAGATATAGGATATACATGTGTATATACATATATATATATATATATGATAACATAGGATATATTCTATGTTTAATCAAAATATGATTTTAAAGAAATCGGAGCTTTTACTTTTATTATATTAAATTTTAATAGAATTTTCTTTTAGTTATTTTGATTAGTACATGTTGAATACACAACGGCGATTATTACCTCAAATAAAGCTACATTCTCCGTAAGAGGCATTTGATTTTTATAATCGTAAGGCGGTGCACATGGTTGTCCAGTTTTTAAAGTGCAAGGAGACGCCAATCTAATGTAAAAATTCAGTAAAATTATAAATCTATTATCAACACGATGCTATATATTCAACAATTACGACATTATAACAATTTCGAAGATTTTGATTAAATTATTTATTTAATTAAGCGAAATGTCTAATGTAATGATACACACATAACAAATATATAATTACTTATCGGGCTGCGTGCTAGTCATTGGTAAAACAACCTTATCTACAAAGCTGCCAAAGCCAATACGAAAATTCGACGTGAGATTTTGCATGGCATTGGCTAATTGTAGACCGAGTTTCGATAATTTGTCTCTATATGGCTCCATGGATGCCGACAGATCCATGAGATAATACAGATCCACAGGATAATCCTCCGCCTGACTGTATCTCATAGTGACACGATAGTCTTCTCCTATGAATAATTTATTTAATTTTTTTAACTGTGGGTTCATTAATTATGTGTAATATTATATAAGTATGTCAGAGATACACGATCTCTGTTTCAAAAACTTTCAAACTTTTTTTCTACAAGCCATATAACTAAAGTTACTAATTGAAATAATACGGAATTTTCTTTGAAATTTATCTCTAATTCTGTTGCGCGCATTTCTCTACATTATATTATTTATTTGCTGTAGTGCCAAAAATGAAACTGTTTTTGATGCTTGTCGAGCGTAAAAAAAATAATGTGTATTTAAACTATGTAGAAGAATTTTTAAAAACGCCAATTCGATCTGAAGTGAATCTTGGTGCTTAATAATAATATTTTTGTGTGAATCTTATAATATAGAGTGTTTTTATAATTATATTGTTTTATAGTTATATTGTACTTTATTATGAGTACGTCACAAAATTATCGGATGTTTTTCAACTTACATATTCTGTGGAACATTTTAAGACGAAAATTGTTAACGAGAATATTGAGGCTATAATAATATTTTTTTAATGCTATTTCGAATTGACCAATCAGTTTGCAACAAATTAGTGCAAAAATTATGTTAGAAATTTCCAAAATATATTTAATAAGGTTTTATATATTTTTTTAATAACAATAATTATTTTGTCGTAATTTCTAAAAAACTTTGTGTCTTATGATCATAAAAATCGAACATTTTTTTACTTAATATTTATTTATGTACTATTTAGTCTAATATTAGAATATTAATGTTCTATATTACAGTTTTGCAAGGAAATTTGAATTCAACGTATGTGAAAAAATTAAATCTTAATGAGATTTTTCTCTCACCTGGCCTGAGACGTAAGCGTATCCTCTGAGGTTGAACTTGAACAGGATCTTTACCCTTAATCGAGGATAACGGTCGATTTTCCAGGATGTTCATCATATTCTCGTGATGTATCACAGCTGATGATTGACACCAAAAGTCACCTTCTTTTAAATATGTTTGTTTAGACACGCATCGCAGCAAAGGAGCACTTACATTTTGTGTAGATACCTTAAAATCGCGAACAAAAATTCATTTATCAAAATTACCATTCTTATAGCTTAAAAAGTTATTAAAATTACAAGCGCATTTAAATTGAAAAACTTTCAATGCACTTAATGTGCAAAGAAAGCTGTATAATAGAAAAATTTACACTTTGTTAATTTTGATTATTGATTTTTATTCATTTTATTCATTTGTCCTTATTTTTATATCAAAATGACGACAAATGACGTCAACTTACTACACCTATCTGAGATCTTGAAAGCAATATTTCTTTTTTTCATTCGCATGACGCATGAAGAACTTTATTTAATATATGACAATTCCACCGAATGGATGATTACATTACGGACGATAGATAGATTTTCGATATATGCAGAAATTTACTCACACAAAAAAATAAAGATCTCACAAAACATTTTCTTAATTTAATATTGATTATAGAGTTATTTTTTAGTACAAAATAAAATTTTAAATTTTATAATTGATTTTTATGACATTTTTGAGAAATAATTTTTTACGTTTTGAGAGTAAATTTTCTTCCGGATCCTAAGGTAAACGTACCAGTGAATGAACATTTATCTATATCTGAACACATACACAAAATTTATTAATCTCAAATGCTCTTTTTTATTATAATATCAAAATTTAATTATAAAAATGTTTAAAAATTACAATTAAATTATAATATTATGAAAAAAAGCATTTAAAAATAAGTTTTGTAATACGTGTTCCGATATAGATACATGTTCAGTCACTAGTACATTTACTTACAATTAGATATTACAATTAGATATTAGAAAACTGACAGAAGAGACGAAAAAAATGCTTTCGTATTAAGCGCGAGTTGTGCAAAACAGTCATGCGGTACAATCGCGTGAGTTCACTCGGCGTATGAATCACCGGCGGCGGAACGCGAACGTCGTCGTCGGCGAACGTGCCCGTCGTAAGGGTGTAGTCGCAGGTGCGCGCTTCTCTCCGACGCTTCTCTCCCGCGTGGATCCCTCTCTCTCTCTCTCTCACTCTTACCGCGTGTCATCTCTAGCGGAGTTAGACCGCTCGTTAACGGCGCTTATAAATATTCATTACCGTCATCGAGCACCAGACGCATCGCGGCGTTTGCAGGCAGCTCGCGCAGGTCTGCCGGGATTCGCAGAGGCTCTCCCGATCGCGGTGCTGCGAAGTCGCGGCTACGAAGAGACGCGCCGTCACGAGGAGGAGGGCGATGATCATCGTCCACCGTGCCATCGTTCCCGTCTTACGTCGAACGTTTAATGCGAACCGCGGCGAGGCGAGCCGCGAACCGGCACGAACGATCGCTATCCGAAAGGATACTGCGGCATCCCGCGGAAATGACTCCGAGATAAAACGCGTCGCGGTAATACGCGTGATTAGGTAATCGTTCCTTCTCTCAACTTCAACATTTTTTCCTGGAATCGGAATGATTGAGTTTCTCGAGGAACACAGAGTTCGCCGGGCGCGGCACAGAGCGATGACGAATTTACTTTCAATGAGTCTTAATTAAAAACTTTACGCTCGCGGGTTTAAACGTGAGCGTCTTGTAAGCCAGGAATAGATGAATTATGTATGTATATTATAATATATTTAATAAGAATGGTCACTGTAATGACCGATTCAAATTTATGAGGAAAAAAAGGTAGCGATAAAAGAAAGATTTGTATATATTCGTATTATATGTATATACATATATAAAAATTAAATGATGTATAATATATTGACAGCATATAATTATAGCTGACAGAAATTATGAAAATAATTTTATTAATTTAATAATAATATTAAGTAACGTTTTATTGAAATAAAAACATGACGCATAGTTGTTTTATTTAATTAATATTAATTGTTACGTTATTAAATTAACAAAATTATTTTCAATTAGACTGCTGTTAGCTAATGCTGTTAATTTCATCATTTTCTTTTCGCCGTATAGATCGAGCTGATTGAAATCGATTCGGTTTGTGACGAAAATTATTAAATTAAATTTAATACAAAACAGCCTGTAATTCGAAAACAAAATTAAATATGACAATCAAATATATATTTCTTTTATTCGGCATATAAAATACAGGAAAGATTTAACATAAAGAAGAATTTAGCATAAAGAGATTAGCATAAAATATTTTGCATAATACTACGCAATTGTATGATTAATATTAGTTTGGAATTTATTTAATATTTTTGTTTGTTTTGGGAAAATAAGAAATGATTTTAGGAACTAAAACCTATTCTGCTAAATTCATTTGATATTTTGAAAAGTCAGTCTGACGCCATCTAGCGTTCTTCAATGAATTATAATCTATGTAAAGATTAGTGAATTATCCGACAGATAGCGCGCAAAAAGAAAAAATGTAAAAAAAAAGCGTCAAGTATATTATAAATTATTTTGTAAATGGCCATAAAAAAAGTGAAATAAAAACAATAAAAAACTCAAATATAACGGCATTAAAAACAGCTAACATGCTTCTCTCTGGTACAACGATAGGAACAGAAGAATCCAGCATTCAGGAAAATGTCAATGCAGATTGGAATAGGCAGCAGCCACAAAATTTTCGATGAGTTGGATTTCTCTGTTCCTATCACTATGCAATTATTACCTAAGTATGTATTATTTCTACTAAAGTACAAAATGACTGTGATTGGTCAGTTTCATAACTACAGATCTACGTGTTATTAAACTCGATTAAATAGTGACGTGTAAACGTACATAAGTCACTGCCGTCACATTTGAAATTTGAAATTCCCGCTCTAAAATAAGGTCTCGTACCTGTCGAGCGACTCCGTGGCCGCTTCCATGAACTATCGCCGTCTCGCGATTGTGTACGCAACTCAAGGGGACATTTCTCGTCACTTATACGTATTCATATGTAGTCGTGATCGGAGAGTGGTGTATGTTGTCGTCGATTGAATCCACCACCCCCGACAAGTTTGACAGATGACCGACTGTCAACGTTCGACGAGTTTGACAAAGTGAGGAAAGCGCATCGACATGGAGGCAGTGCCGAGATTGCCGATGATATGGTTTCAACTAAAAGTCAGTCCGGAGCCGACCACTTTCGGGCCGAAGCTCAAACAGGTACCGAGTTTTATCTCTTTTTCTTTCATATCTAATTATATAGTCGATTTTCGCGACGCTTCGCAAATCCGCTGTTTGCGCGAAATGTCAAAGTGTTAAGAGCAACTTGTCACCACAGTCGTCATTTTTTGATGATTTTTCGTTTGCTTCTCTGTTTTTGCTTCCCTTGTGTATTTCTTCTTTTTTTTTTTTACAGTACATACAAGATTTTTACAACGAGGAACCTGAGTCATATAACAATGAGATACACCAATTGGAAAGCTTACGCTCGATGGCAGTTAGACCACCAGTCGACATGGCTGGGTGTGCTCTGCTTAAGAAATATTATTGCCAGTTGCATTTTCTTCAAAGCAGATTTCCCATGTACAAAGAAGGACCTGCCGCAGTCACATTCACATGGTATAAAATACTTTTCATTATACTTTGTGCATATTTAATTGTTTAACATTTAGTCCAATTGTATATATAAATTGGTAATCATGGATTTGTTTTTTTGATTTATTAAACCATATGATGTTTTTTTTTTTAGGAGAGACGCTTATGCGAACTTGGTGTGCTCATTGAGTAGCATTCGTTTTGAGATTATATCGATTTTATATAATATTGGAGCAATGCACAGCCAACTGGGCGCACGGACTGAGAGAAACAGTGCAGACGGAATGAAAATGGCGTGTACTCATTTCCAGTGCGCAGCGTGGGCCTTTGAACACCTGAAGAACAGTTTTCCTCAACCGTCTGGTATTGATCTGTCACCGGAATTAATGACGTTCATGCATCAGCTCTCCTTGGCGCAAGCTCAAGAGTGCATATTGGAAAAGAGCATGCTGGACAATCGTAAGCCAACAATTGTAGGTATGTCATCGGCTGTCAGTTTTGTAATTCGATTGTTATAGCAACTGTTTAGTTCGATCTGTCAGTGTACAAGATATATGTGTTGTGCAGCAAAAGTGGCAAAGCAAATAGTAGATTACTTTACTATGGCTTCAACCACTTTGGACCAAGGTGGAGGTGATGATGGGACTATATCCGATACTGTGGGCAACAAAATTTATAAGGTAAGTCAAATTATAATTTATGTACTTGAATTATTTCACACGTTTTTATGAGTCTGAAATGTTGCTTTGTTTAAATCGATGATACTAAGTAATCAATGATGTTCATAATTTTTTTCAGAGCTGGAAACGCTACGTCAAGTTTAAAAAAGCGTATCACATGGCCGTCACGTATCTTTATCAAGGTCTTGCTGCGGAGGAACAGAGGAAGATGGGAGAGCGCGTAGCTTTTTATAATGCTGCCCTAGCGTCTCTCAACGAGGCACACACGATTTACGATTTTGCAAACGTTAAAGAGGAAAAAGCCGCGGTGGAAGAATCGCTCACGTTTACCAACGATGTAATCGAAGGCAAGAGAAAAGCCGCTAAAAACGAGAACGATTTTATTTACCACGAAGAAGTGCCTGAAAAAGAAAGCCTTCCTACTGTGAAAGGCGCGTCTTTGGTTAAAGGAATATCGTTTAACATAAATGACCCAGAGGTATCAGGACAAGATATATTTGCAAGGTAATTTTATTTCGTATTTTGATGTCCTTTTATTGCATGTAGTTCAATTTTTTTATCATTAAATTGAGAACATAAATGACAAAATTATTATTTGTCTGTTATAATATTTTTTAATAGAATATTCATAGTTCTTTTTTTTATATAAGTTTAATATTTATATGTTGTTCCACAGATTTGTTCCTATGAAAGTACACGAAGCTAATTCTCTTTATTCGGAGGAAAAAGCCAAAATATTGCGTTTTATTGGAGCCAAAATTGATGAAAAAGATCAATATCTTAATACTTATCTCACATCGTTGAAGCTGGAACATATGAATTTATGGGATCCTGATGCGCAAACTTCAGAATGGGAATGCTTACCTCTGCCGGAAGAGTTGCTCGAACGATGTGCTGCGCTTAATGCAAAACAACACATTATTCAAGATTTAGTAGATATTATGGGAAAATTATCTGAAACAAGCCAAGATGTTGAGAAAGTATTAAAAGAAATATCAAAATTTTTATTGGATGAGGAACAAAAGTATGAATTATGCACCTTTTGTTAAAAATTTTAAGCCTGTGATATCATCGACTATTCTATTGCAGTTAGAATTTAATTTTTTTTATAGGGAAAAACAATATCAAGATGCAGTAGGTAAGAGACCACCATCGATAGTAGCAACAGATTTAACCAGAGAAGCTAATAAATATGAGGAGGCACACAACAAGGCTTCTGAGAGTAATCAAGCTCTTCACAAAGCAATAACAATGCATGTAAAGAATTTAAAAATTCTCGCGCAGCCATTAGCTGATTTAATGGCTCAGATCCCTTCACCAAATGTGCATCTTGCAGGTAATTTTTATATAAGTTTCCTAAGTAGAATTTTATATATATATATATATATATATATAATTAATATACTATAAAATAATTATAATAATTTAAATAACTTATTGAATACGAGTTTAGCATACGAATTCACATTCTTTTAATGTTTTCAGATCAAGGTTCCGAAAAGTCACAAACTAAAGAAATAGAGAAAATGCATACTAAAGAACTGAAACGTGTTTTAAGTAAAGTAGACGAGATGCGAATGCAGAGACTTGATTTGCTTACCAAATTACGAGATCAAATTGTCCAGGACGATCTGACGCGCTTACTAGTCACGGCTACGTCTGAATCCGTCTCTCTGGATCGTCTGTTTAAGGACCAGATTAGCAAGCATCAAAGTTTGGTTAGTAAATAATTTCACGTGAATTTTTTTTTTTTTTTCTAATCTGCAACGATTGAACGAAAGAGCTTATAATATTGGATTGCAGGTGAGCTTAATCGAACAAAATCTTGCTGCACAAGATAACATATTAGCAGCTCTAACGGATGCGTATGCGCAGACTGCTAACGTACGTAAAAACGTGGAGGAAGTACTGAAACGCAGAGAAATGACCATAACTTCTTTAATCAATTCTTACGACGCGTACGAGGACTTGCTGGCGAAATCGAGCAAGGGCTTGGAGTTTTATAGGAAATTAGAGATAAATGTTACGAAGCTGTTGCAGCGAGTTAAGAGTACGTGTAAAGTGCAGGAAGAAGAGCGAGAGCAGATACTCGCGCAGGACAATAAGAACACGTATGAGAAAGTCGACGCGACAATACCGTCGACTTACGATCAAGCACGTCCTCGATCTGGTAACGGCCTGAAGCTGAAGGATTATTTGAACACCAGAGTCGAAGGTGGTACCGGTTATCAAAATCCATATTACAACTTGTATAAAGGGTCGCACGTCACGTCGATGCAGATTGATTCGAAATCGTTGGCAACTGACATGGGAAACAAAAACGTAATTCAATCTCCAAGTCCAATACCCGTATCGGAAATTCCGTCCGCGGCTGCGAAGTCATCGCAACATTATTATCCCGCGACGTACGCCGATTACAGAACAAGCTCGCCGTATCCGTACGGCACGCAGACTTATTATGAAAATCCGGTTGCTAATAGCATCTTGAATCAGAGCTACTTGCCGACCACCACGAGCACCACGAGCGTCTATCAGCAGCCGACTCTGTCCACGCCAACTGCAGGCGTGTCTAATTCGAGTGTACAATATCCTGCCAGTCCTTCCTATCTACCTAACGGACAGGCTCTACCCACAGCCACCGGACAGGACAAATTCCGCGATGTCTCTTCTAACTACAACGTTTCCAGCACCACTTTGCAGTACGACGCTTATCAGTCCCCGACGGGTTATAACAGCTACAACATTGCGACGCCGTACGTTTCCAATCAAGAGAAAGTTACGGTTAAGAGCGGAACGGCTGAAACATCCACGCATATTCAGCCAGTACCGCAAATGCCCGTCTCTGCGATCGGAGCCGCCGCCGCAGCAGCAGCAGCAGCAGCAGCGAGCAGCACCGTGTCGACGGATGGCCAAGGGCAAACTTTGTACGGCGTTGTGCAACAAGCTCAGCAGTACGATAACCAGCCGAAGACAACTTTAAGCCAAGAGATGTTTCACGGTGTTCAGAACGCTGCTAGATCTCAGCAAGCGATGCCGGCCAAGGACAACACGTTGGCGCAGAACTACTCGCTTCCTCAGACTGCCCATTCCGAAATCACATATCCGCAGAGCTATCAGAGCGCCACGTATTACAATCCGGCGGAGTTGCAGGCCCAGCGAGTCCCGTACACTCAGGACACGTACGACACGGCTGTCGTTCCTCCGATGCAATCGCCGCAACCGAGCACGAGCAATCAGTCCGTACATTCCGCACCGTCAACCAACGAGGCCTCAGTGCCGTACTCTTCGAGTTTACACGGCGTTAATCCTGTCCAGTATTCGCAGCAGACCGCTACAGACTCGAGCACGCAGAATTACACGGATAAAACGTACGCCGTGTACGGCACGCAGGTGCAAATCAACGCTGTGACACCGAATTATCCAGGTACTTATCAGAATTATCAGCACGGTGCCGCTGGCACGCCGTACGAGCAGACCGGCATGCTGCCCGGGGACGCGTCCGGCACGTACGCCTACATGAACAGCTCGAGCAGCTCGGAAATAATACAAAGCCACGCGAAACCGACGCCGACGACGGTGCAGAGTTACTCGCAATCGTACCAATACTCGCAGCAGGCTCCTTACTCGGGATACGTGCAGTATCCAAATTATACGCAGGGTCAAAGTTACGCCTACATGCAAGGCGCGCATGGAACAAATGCAATGCCGTACGCGTATAGTCCTGCTAACCAGGCGCAGGGTTATACTTACCCGTCCAATCCGCAAGGTGCACCGACCTCTCAATCGTTGGAGGCGATGGTAACGTCCTCCACCAATGTTACGGCCAGTGGTATTTATCAGCAGCAGGAGACAAACGCAAGATACACGAACGCGGGCAATAACGCTGTAGTCAGTCAAACGCCATCCTCACAATACAGCCAAGATTATCAGCCTCAGACTGGAAACGATACGTACTACACCACGCCTTACGGCCTTCAAATGCAGGGCCAAGGTATGTTACATCCCTTCTAATATTGTCATTGCGTTTTCTCACGTGTAAAAGAGTCATTTTGTCATTTCGAGTCATTTCGTTTCAGCTGGTTCGGTAACGAGGCCTGAAAATTACACGAATTATAATCAGACGTACATGCAAGCCGTCAATAACGGGACGAACACAACAACGAGCGCTAATCCGATGAAACTCACGACCAAATCCGAGGAACCGAAATCGAACGTCGATCTTCTTTCGGACCTTGACATCACTATAAATCATGCGCCTCTTGTGCCTGAAGTGCGACCTCTTTCTGCGGTACAGAAAAAAGAGGAGGCGACAGCGGACGCGGAAGATGATAAGGCAGAAAAAAGCGAGCAAGACAAATCTTGTAAAACTGAACCAGAAGTCGCAGCTCCCACTGAAGACAAAAGTGATCATGAGAATTTACAGATTGTATGGGACACATGGTATAATGACGTTCAACCGAAGAAAGATCCTCTAGGAGAACCGGCAGCTCTACAAAAGTTCATTAATGATGTTGAGAAGTATGAAAAGTTTGTAGATAGCTTACTCGTAAAAACTTTAAGCGGAGCAACGAATCTCGATATCAAGTGGAAAGAAGTTCAGGACTTCGAGGTAAGTTTAAAATAAATTTCGTTAATATTCTGCTAGCTACATCTTACAATCAAGTGAAGAACACGTTTTTTTTTTTTTTTTTTTTTTTTTTTAAGAGAGAATTTAGAGAATTTACGTAAGTACGTTCGAGTTTATTAAAGTTATCTTTTCTCTTTCAGGAACGAGAAAATGGAAAACAATCGAGTACCGTAGCGTTAGCTCACTCGTCCGAAAATCGAACAATTGATTGTATTCCATATGATACGACACGAGTACAAATATCGTCGTCGGATGTTTCGTCATATATAAATGCGTCTCACATCATGGAAATCACACAGTGGATACCTACAGCGTTTATTATAACTCAAACACCTTTAACAGATAAATTAGACGTTTTTTGGACGATGGTCTGGGAACAAGAGAGTGAAGTTATTGCATGCTTAGCTTCTGATACTCAGGTTTGTGTGTACAGAAATAATATATATTTCTATAACACGGTTAAAAAACTTAAAAAGGCTATGTATTAAAATTAATTTTTTCAAATTATATTTTTTTATTTTTCAAAATTTTCATTTTCTAATAATAAAGAAATTTTTTGTAGTTGAATGGAGAATTATATTGGCCCATAAGTGAAGAGGACAACTTAGACGTAGGAAATTTTACCATTTCATTAAAGAAAATAGTTAACCATACAACTTACATTCAAAGAACTCTTTCTATTCAACATAACAAAAAGAAATCTGAGAGAGTCATTGTACACATGCAATTTCTTGTGTGGCCTTCAAAGTAAGTTAAACTCTGTAAATTGAAATACTTAAAAAGTACCCGTACAGATTATATAATACATCTTGTTTTTCCAGTGGTTTTCCGAGTAGTCCCGGCGCTATACTCGCATTTTCGAGCGACGTGATGACAGAGCAGGCATTAAGACGCTGTTCTCCCAAGCCCGTAATTGTACATTGTTTAGACGGCGGTTCGTTGAGCAGCCTGTTTTTAGTGGCCGCTGCGACTGTATGTCACATACGAGCTGATTGTGGAATCGTGGATGTACCGCTGGTTTTTAAAGGCCTTGCGAAATGCCGTAAACAAGTCGTAAATAAGGAATCGCTGTTATTTGCATACAGACTCGTTTTGTACCACGCTCAGGACATTTTAATGAAACGTAAGAGAAATAATTTCTCATGATATCGTCAATGAAATACTATTCCAACGATATGCTGTCTTGTCTCAGGTGGCATTCTGTCATCTACGCGGGCCACATTTGACAATCTGGATGGATTCAAAGGGAACAAGGAGAAAACATCCCGAAAGTTACAGTGCCATCCTTCGGACGATTTTCTTCATAATCTCGGGGTGGGAATGCAACGCCCTGATTCTGAGCAATCGGGTACGCAATTACCAAAAATATTGTAAATTGATTTGTAATAGTTCTGTAAAAGTTTTAAACAAGCAATTTACCAAGCATTAGTTATTTCAATTTTTGTAGAATTTTTTAATTTTTTATTTTATTTTAGGAAAAACACAAACAATTTTAACAAGCGATAGCACGTCGAGTAAAAGTTCATCGTCACAAGAAAAATCTAATGGCAGAGTCATTGATCCCTTGAGTCAATTGGATCCTTTGTGGTCCATCAGAAGATAATCATACAACGCTAGGAATGTAATTTCCGCTGTGCAGCTTTAAACGATTATTTAAACGAAATAGGCATTCCTATCTTTGTTAAAGTGATTGATAAAAATTATTGAGTTAGAATTTTTAAGATAGCTTGTATAAATAATGTTATAATATGGAATTAAAGAGGAACACAATGCATCTAAATTAGCCTTGAAAAAAAAGACATTTATTCAAATATTTGTGTGCTAATCCTTAAGTTTTAACAGTTTTACTGTCTGTTATATATATATAATATAATATATATATATATATATATAGAATAAAAAATATAAAACACATGCCTCCTATTTGTATTCATTTTTCATGTTTATACATTTCAATTGGCCTAAACAATGCAATCCAACTGCATTGCTCCGTTTTTATACTTCAATATATTTAGGCTGTAATGTATGATTAATTAGGTAAATATAACGTACTTGTATTTACTTAGCGATTTAATATAATTAATTTTATATATTTCTGACTATACCTGTTTCCATGAGAAATGATTATAATATAAACTTTGTGACACATTCATGTCGAACAGAATTCATTCGCAGATAACAAAGATATTTTAGACAATATAATTGTTCGATAATAATATAGCGCATTGAATGCGAAATATTTATTATAGAGAATCTATATTTAAAGCATAGGCTTACGCTAATGTCCATAAACGAATGCGATATTCTAATAGTCATGTTATCCAGTATTATGTATGGCGATTTTTTTAAGGACGCTGCCGAAATATATGCTAAACATATATATCTTTCAAAATTCTAATAAATTGCAATACAGCAATATTTATATTTATGCTATTTTTTTATCTTCATGACATTTCATTTATAAAAATTTCAGTTACAATGCGATGAGCAATAATACATATGTATGTATTAATTTTCGCATCAAAAAGATTTATTTAGACGTTATGGCAATGGATTTTTGTCTATGCAAATCGCGCGGTGTCAGAATATTTTTAAGTCCCCCTGTTTCGTAAATCTTTCACTTTGTAAATTCGCACAAGCCAATGTTCCGTCGTGTACGCTTCTTCCAACGTATTCAATTCAAAATCCTTGTTTCCAATCTCCATATTTCTCACTCGGTCGTAACCCGAAGGTTTGCCTGTTCAAAAAGTTCAATGATACAATAATCAATGCAAAACTGATCTGTTCTACAATTTTGCTTACAATTTTGATAAAGCAAAAAGACTTACCGCCTTCAGTGTAGACTTGGCCAAATCTGTAGTAACACATTTTGTACATGAGACAATTGAGCAAAATTGGAGATCCCTCTTTATCCACTCGGAATTCACCCGCGGAGTTATAATAATCCCACTCGGTTATGGATTTTCCTTTTTCTGTACTGCCACCAATGCGCACCATCCATAGGAACTTATTTATGTCTAATTAAAATATATATATAAATATATGTATAAAAACTTTTATAATAAATTTAAACAATCGATTTTTATTTGTCAATTATAATAATCTAAATAGAGAAATAACTGACACATGAGAGCAATCAACTCATAGTCAGGTTCAATATTAATCGTCATTTCTTGTATACTTCGATATATGCATAAAGAGTGAGGTAAACCCATTTTACCGTTTTGAGAACAATAAACTACAAATAAAATGTTGAAATAATTGTGTTATATTCACCATCTGATGAGTAGCCAGTGAGCCCTCCGAAAATCACAAGGACATAGTTGACATCTAATTCTCTCATAATCTCGTAAGCCTTTTCCTCGGAACTCGCCATTGCCTGGCCGACTCTTGATATGTGCGTATTATTCCATGTATTATTGTCTACTAAAATAGTACGATTTGCCATCGCAGTTATCTGATACCCATAATCCCACCAAGACATTATTTTAGCATTCTAAAAAGAAAAAGATGAATTTTATGATTTGTTTTAATATTTTCTTTCCATTCCAAATATTTTTTTCATGTCAGTTTGCAATTTTCTAACAAAGTACGATATATTATTTATCTATTTATATATGTACTTTTAGACAAATACTTAAATTTATAATTCTAATCCAGATGTTTAATCTGAAAATTCATTTGTATCTGAAATAATACAAAAAAAGTGACTAACCTCGGGTGTATTCATACGTAGCCAGTAATACGCTTCTCTAAAATCATCAAAAATCATCCGTCCACCGTCGGGTGATCGTGCAGACAATACAATACTAGGTGAGCTATAAGCTTCTGCTGTAACCCACGTGCAATGAAAGGTATAAGACAGGAAGAGTATACCCATTACTGCGATGAAAAATGAGGCGATCTGAAAATATTTTTATTTCTATACATTCTTAATTTAACGTTACTTTTCCTACGTTCACATGTCGTATCTCACAAGGCATATTTATTTTTCTCGAAATATTAGAAACTTACCTCACTCCTCAAGATATAATTATTTTCAAATTTCTTGGCTTTCTTATCGACAACTTTTCCACTTTCAACTTGCTTCATGTAAGTAACCAGTAGAGAAGATGCTCCAATTCCACCCAAGATGCACATTACTGGAGCAAGTACTAACATTAAACGTACCATTACTCCCTAAAATATTAAATATTAAAATATTAATAATTCAACGTATATTATTACATATAAAATTTATATTAAAAAAATAGATATGTAAAAACATGTATATATATTTAAAATATATGTTTAAAATTGCAATATTATCTTATATACTTTTACTTACTGCAAAATATAAACTCGTAACTCCGTACAAAATTAAGAAAATGTTTGAGTCTGTTAACTTAGAAAAACAAAAGTATAAGCCTGATGGGAATAGAAATACAAGTATCTGTAGATCAAAGTAAAAAGAACTCCATGACGTTGGCTGATGCTCCGAAACAGAAGCAATTATTGGAATATGATTTTTTGCATAAGATGGATCGAGCAGAGAATAAAAGCGTCCAGTCCAAGGTGATATTTTTCCTTAAAAAAATTAAACAATGTGCATAAGAGAATATAAGTGAAGTAATACATTTAATTAACTTAATTATATATTAAACAAAAAAAAAGTACAAGATCAGTACCTGTGATGGTTAAAATACCACCAACTATGCACGATGTTGTAATCACCACGGCAAGCAGAGCACGGAATAGTATCTCGAACTCTTTTTGGGACAATTTACTCCGCAAGTAATCTACTAAAGCGTGTATTTGACAAAGGCCAAAAACGCCCAATGCCTGTGAGAAACGAACGAAGTAAGTAAAATTGTACACAGAATTTCGAGTTAAATGCTGACATCTAACATTTCAAAAGTGTCTTAAAAATATTATTGCAACTTACAAGCATGTGCTCGGAACTCTGAACGGGTTGGAAACCAACAAACGAGATTTGCATAGATAAGATGGTTCCTAAGCAATACAAAATGCTGTACGCGATGTATATCCTGTGGGAGAATCTGCCAGTCACCATCAACGTCAGCACGTGCAACGGAATCAAGTTGATCAGAAAGACATATCCGCCCCACGAAGACACCATGTAGAAGTAAGCCAGCGCGGCGCACGTGGCCCAACATATCGCTCCTGTTTTCACAGCTTTGATCCACATGTAGTACGTGAATAGCATACAAAAGATCGCTATGCCTTCATTGTCATAAGAGCCCGCAACTGACCGGGATATGTAACCAGGAACAATTGCGATCATTGCAGCTGCGAATAGGCCTGATGCGGAATCCTAAGAAGATAAAATAAACATGACAGAATATTGTTGCTGCATCGATTTCAAAGAAGACAATGCTACATACTGCAACCAGCAAAAAATATAAACTGTACCTTTAATTCTTTGGTAAGCAGATAAGTAATAATTGTTGTTAAACTTGAAAACAACGGAGCGAGGAAGACACAAATGTTGCGTATATCTAGTGTAATGTTCAGTAACCACGAGATACGATACAGTGCTGCTGAAGTTATCATTAAGCCGGGATATATGGTACCTGTAAAATTCATTTTTCAAATATTAAGTTGTTCTTTCTCCTCTCGGTGTATTCATTTCGTGTCAAAATTTGTCAAGCGTATAATCAATACCTCCTATTATCCTGCCAAGCGGATACCAAACGCGATCGTCGAACCAATTGTGAAAACTGTAGAATCCATTTTCAGCCAAATATTTTGTGGTGCGATAATTGAAGTACGGATCAAATTCATGAATGACACTTTCAAATCTTAATACCGAGAACAAACGCGTTGCAAATGCTGGAAAAGATATTGCAATATAAAGGTGAGTGAACACAGCTGACATTTTTCTAATAAAATAAATCAAAATATGAAGGTAATAATAAACATACATAAAATTGCTGCTAAGGAAAGCACGGTTAATTTCAAAAGTGTTTCTTGCTTCTGCGCCGTCATGCGCAGCCCCCGCGTCTTTAACAAGGTCGCCATGTCGATGCGATGGAACGCACAGCAATTTTAAATAAAATAAATTCTGTCTCTTACAGCATCAATCTGCAAACAAATCAAAGTTCTTTCAGACACCGCTTTCCTCCATGTATACTCCAGATCAGAAATTTGGAAACACAGAACTCATAAAAACAGGGAAATTGATAAAATTGCAGATAAACTGCAACACACATAATTATATAAAAACACCGATAAATCGTAGATAAACTATGTTTTTAGTTTTATACAATAATTATTGAATTTGAAGAATTATTGTTAAAAAGTACATTGGCAGTGTTTAGCAGAAAAAACAGCTTTGCAACTGTTTTCTGTGAGATTTTTTAATATGATTGATTATTCTAAATCTGTTCCTCACTGATTTAAATATATAAACTAATCACATTAAGAATATGATTACAACAGTTGCAAAGCTTTTTCTACCGAGTGCACTGCCGTAATGAATATTTGAATAGGTAATCGCAAAAATGTCTATATTTTTGAAAAGTATTTCCAAACTTTTGAATGTACACTTGCGTGACGCATTGTACGCGCATTATTATTGTCAATCAAAAAGGTTTTGCGTAATGTAACGTAGATAAATCTCTAATTTTTAAGGAACGATAGATAACAAGTAATTCCATGTATAGCTTAAGCACATGCTCCCATTATTATTCGAGGAGGTTATAATTGGAACGGCAGAGGAAAAAAACGCCGAATTAATCGCGAGCGACGAGCGTCTCCGTTCCGAAATACAACGCACGGCTCCCTAATTTTGACGGATGTCTGACGCGTCTCCGACAATACGTATGCATCCGCAAGCAACGCCGGGTAGGTGAGGTAGGTCCGTCACTGACCACGTACACAAAATTACCGGCCGGTGACATATGTACCTATGTACACGTCGATTCACATACTTTACTCTTCCGTATCGTGCGTACGTCTGAGCGTCGCTTCAACGGCTTCCGAAAGTTCGGGAGAGACTTACGAAATTACTTTATACAAGAAATGCGTAAACACAACGTGGCCATTTAAATTATTAACAGAAACGCCAGACAACATTCCAAATGAAAAAGCCATAGATCATGATCCACACGATTGGAAGAAGATCAAATGGGTTGAAGAGGTATATAAGAAGATGACTTTAGCGTCATCTACTGATATCAGTTGACGTATTGGAGATTAAGAATTTAGAACATATGCGTATAGTTTGATACGGGCTTTAATTATACTTTTTTTAATTTCATATATTACACGTTCTTAACATTGTGTTTTTTTCAACATTAAATAAATATTAATTTTAGAAATTGAAACTAAAAAATTAAATAAGTAAAACCTGAGAAATATATATATATATAATAGTTAAATACTTTTTCATAAAAATTCCAAAAATTTCTTTTAGGTTTGAAAGATTAATCTAAAGAAATATAAATTCTCAAGAATTGTCAAAGAGAATAATATCATTGACGCTTCTGATTGGCTGTCGCAACCTGAAATTACGCTGTCCTATCTGTGATATTTGGTGCTCCATGCTCCAAAATCACCCATGACTTGTTCCCGCCAGACTAACCGGTACCGACCGGTATTTATGTTTTATGAGATTTATATATACAAGCTACGTTGTACTTAATTAAAGTATCTCGTTACTTCTAACTTGTTTCTGTAACGTTGTCTTTAACGTGGAAAAAATGTCGGAAGGTATGTAGTAGCCGAATGTACATTTCTCTTGTATCACGCAGCGAGTTTAACCTCTCGATGCTTGAGATAAATTTTGTCACGCGACAAATTTAACCTCTCAGACAGATTAAAACAAATCTTTAAATTATAAGTCGAAGTCAGATCTTGCGAAATGGAATAAATATATACATTATATTATATATAATAATAATATATTATAATTGAGAGTTCAAGATTTCGTGTTTTTTTATTAATTAAATGATATTATGTAGTATCTAAATTTATTTATGTATAACATGTATTTTTTACAAGTATTAATCTTTTTAAATGCTAATATAATAATTATACATAATGAAACTTATTATATATATTCTACATATAAATGAGATTTTATTTATAATTTATATTTATTTTAATATTTGTAGCTACGAATGGTGACTTAAAAAAAATTCTGAAGTACTTTTTTTTTATACAGATAGAGCAGCAACAACAGAAGATATGTGGACTCCATACAAAGAGTTGCAAAGTCTTGTTGAAAAGTATATAATATCAGTTCCTGATATTCAAGATCCTCAGTATCATGAACTCACAGAAGCTCTGCGAAATCACAGACAGAATTTCCTTACTATATTAAAGAATCCAGTAAGAGTCTTTTTCATTCTTTTTATTAAATCACTATAATATCAAATTTATTAGAATAACATATATTCATAAATTTTAGTAAAAATGTATATGATATAATCAATGTTAAATATAGATTACAGTGCTAGCTATGCATACATGTTAATATTTTATTTTTTGTACATCAGCCAAAAAACATGAAAAGTCGCGATGAAATTAAAAAAGGAGTCACAGATGGTATTACGCTACCTGGTTTGGGTCACCAAATATTATCAAAGGAGTTAGTAGATGAGACTATCATTATATCAGAGATGTACGACTTGAACGAGTTCATGGCATTGGATCTTCTCTGTACGGCTCAACTTCAAATGCCACACCATCCTGGTTTAACGCGTGGTTTAACAGCTGTTCTTCTATATTACGACGGAAGAAAAGCATTAACATCAGTATTAAGGACCTTGGTGCACACTCGAATTGGTCACAGTTGGGCAGTGGATGCACCGATCGCTCTTACGAGACACATTACAGACTATACGAATAAATTGCAAGAGGATGGGATGTTAAATAGGATTTTATCCTTAATAGAGGAAATGGACCCCACCAAGGTATTCTATCAAGAAAGAAGTAACAATTGTAAAAAGAAATGTTATACAAAATGCATTACTATTTTATGAAAAGCTATACATTGTAGTTGTATTGACTTAAAAAATTAACTTTACAATTTTACAATTTCAAAAATTTTTTATTAGAATTATAAAAATTTTATCTGAGTTATCAAAATGTATTTATTTCTCTCAAAATTATTTTAAATAGGAACAAGATTTGCTGCAAGCAAATAGGGCATTAGGTGGAGCAAAGCACCATCAGATGGTTATGAAACTTTACAATGACACACGACAAGATTTGGCTGATATCTTATACTTATGGTCCGCTCAGTCGTCTCTTCCGAATATAATTCTATTCCGCTTATTATCTATACTGCAAACACGTCAAGTGGAATCCGAGGCGGGTGAAGGAGGACCTGACAAAGTTACACTTGCACTCATTATGGCCGTTTTAAATGCCTTCAACTTTAATTTCTTACATAGTCGTGAAAATGGCGAAGGTAGACAATACATAGCATTACCCTTGTTAACATGGAAAAATTTTCTTACAAATTGTAAATTATTATTATTATTATTTCAGAATTAATTAATTCAATGCCATTAATCGCGGAGAGAGAAGCACTGGAGGAACTGAATCAAAAGTTAATATCCACTAGCATAAATTGGGAGAGTGCTGGATTGCGGGGGGTGATACAGTTTGCTTTGGCGATAGCTATGATTACCGTCAAAACAACCACCACGCAGTTTCAGTCTCAGAGCATTTCCGCGGAAGATGAAATACTAATAGAAGCGGCCCTAGCTAACAAAGCTTTCCATTTTATGGCCGAGGTTTTGCTCAAGAGTAGCTGTATACATCAAGAGGAATTTTACGTCCGCTATTTTCACACGCTCATCTCCGACTTCATATTACTGATGCCCGTTAAAATTAAGGAATTACGCAGTCGCGCCGACGAATCTATGCGCTTGATTCAGGCATTTCAGCAGGAGGGCATTGAACCACCGATGAACCTGGATAATCACTTTGAATATTTAATGCTGATGGTGGCAGAACTGTATAAGGAAGATCCACTGAAGTTAAATTTAGCCATGGATTATTGGTGTCATCATACTGACACGACTCATGTGTCAGCTCCTGCGTACATCAGTCGCTTGCCGTCTAGACAAGTTGCTCTATTTAAATTTGTACGTCTTGCCGGAGAGATATTGCCAGCCGGTTTATTTGTTCCATATATGAAGATGATAGCGTCTCTCGCCTCGTCGCCACAAGCAGCTAGATATGCTTTTAATTTTTTTAAACCAAACGGTAAGTGTAACTGTCGCAAAATGTATTTGTGTTGTTTGTAATTTTTTTTTTTCATAATGAAATTACATAAATGTGTCTGTTGTACAGGCTCATCCGGTTCAGCGACTATTTCATGGGATCATTTCTTCAACTCTTTAAACAGATACTATTACAATTTGAGGCAGGAATTACCGCCTAGTCAGGATACAGTGTATAGGCAAAGGTGTCATCCGAAGGGAATTATGCCGCAGGAAGTCAAAGGTCTCGAGGCAGTGCTACTGGTTGTCCAAGTGATAGCCAGGAACGATGAAATGTCGAGAGTTGCAATATGCGATCACCCGAGTTGGAAAGTCTTGCAGTCGTTGATCGGCTTGGTGAGCTGCGCGATGCCGATACCTTTGAAGGGCGTGCTAGTGAGAACTCTCGCGGCGCTGGCCAGATCGCCAGAGAGTTCCACCACGGTTTGGCAGAGCTTGGAGGCCGCTCAGTTTCTATCCACTATACCGACGACGAGCAGCTATCAGCCGAGGGGCGTGCAAACGGAATTGGAAGAGATCGAATCTAGGAACGAGGAGTACCCGTTAACACGCGCCATGCTGGAGCTGTTAGATGTGCTTACCGACTTCCCAATACCACGTCTGTTGGGCGTGGGCCAGCGAAATCCGGGATTCGATCCGTATCTGCACTTCATCATCAGTACCGTCTTCCAGAGATTCCACACTCGTTCGTACAAGAATCCTGCCGAGAAGTGGGAGGTGGCGGAGGCTTGCCTGAAGATATTCTCCAAGTTGATAAAGCAGTACGAGCCAACCGTCGAAGATTTCGTGGGCTGCAAAGTCGAGTTGCAAGGCGGCGAGTCCACCCTGGTCAATTCCGCTCCGGGATATCACTTAATGACGCGATTGCACGACAATTCTGAGCTGTTACACGTGATACTGTACATCATGGGCGAAGGTTGCCATCATTTCGACACCTACGACAGTTTTCCGGGCAAGAAGTATCTCGAGAGTTGCAGCCTTTACTGCTTGGAGATACTGGAGCGTGGATTAAAGATGCAGAACAATTACATGGCGCAGTTGACTGCCATACAGTCTGTGAACAAAATTATGACGGGGCTGTCGCGTTTGCTGCTCGGGGTGAATCCTCGCACGGGTAAACCGGATCACATGATCAGTATCGTCAAGTACGTTTCTTACAGTTCGTGGCTGCCGAAACAGGCTTTCGTGGCGGTTGGGGTTATTCATGGCGTGACCAACGAGCCCGGAGCGGACTCCGAATTGCTGTCGACGTTCACGGCAACTTCTACTTTAGCGACGAACGTCAGGCACGGCTTTGTCGAGTGTCTGGACGCGGACGGTGTCTCGGAGGATGACGACGAGACGATTAGAGCGGACGATCAGAGCAGGCAGCCGATTGGAAATTGCAAAGAGAGAATTCTACTCCTGATGATGCATAGTATCACGCGACCCGCGCCCAATCTCGCGCATTACTTGCTCGGCTTCGAAATAACTAAGGACATCAGGAAGACCGTTATTCAGCAGCCGGGAATCCTCGGATTCCCGCGTACCTGCCTGCACTCCATCTTGGGCATTCTGGAGCAATCTCTAGAGCGCGGTCGCGACAAAATAACCGAGGCCTGCTACTGTTATCTTCACACGTTAACGGCAAATAGCAAAACATCGGCGCCCGTTCTCCGATTTTTACGTACCACGAGTAATCAGGACTTCGTGCAGAGGCACCTTTCGAAATTACCGTTCCAGGGGCCAAATAGGTCGACCGAGCTCGGCTGTATGTCTTGGCTACTGAAAATAGCGGCTATCGAGTTGCGAGTCGCCGGTGGTAGTTTGCAGACTTCTCTGATTCAGCAGTTGGTGGGAAGTTTCCATCAGGACAAGGATCAAATCGTGCCCTCTCAGAAGCTTCTGATGGATCTCTTGCATTACATCGATTTCCAATTGTATCTGGAACCTACGAAATCATGGGAATTCTTCGATCCGTCGCAAATCGAAATGGTGCTGGGCAAGTGCAGCATCCCCGTCGCGCTGATGGGCGGTCCGTGGCTCATCGACATCAGGAAACTGCATTCACTCATCACCGAGGAATTGACGGTTACGCAGAGCAGCGCGACCGCTACCCAACGCAAGCTCATGCAGCAGGAAGTGAAGTCCATACTCGCGCACGCGTTGAAGAAGAATCAGACCAAGGTTTTGTCCTATGCAACTGTGAAATTCGTAGAGGGCTGGTGCCAAACTACGGAGATACTCTTCTCCGTCGCGACGAATCAACAATTGCCGGTGGCTCAACGACAGAATCTTCTGCTGAACTTGTCGCACGATCTACTACAGAAGATGACGTCCTGCGAAGCTCTGAGCGAGATCAAGACTTTGGTGTCCGGCACGGTTTTGATGCTGCTGGTAAACTTACGAAACAGCTTTGTGATTCAGTCGGACAACGAGTTGCTGCCGTCGTCACCATCGAACACGACGATGATGAAAATCATTTTGAGTCACATCTTACAGTGGATCATAAACGCCGGCGCGTCCTCGCAGAAGGTCGTGACGCATCTTTACGCGGCCCTATTGAACTTCCTGAGTATCGTCGGCTTGGAAAAGTCCGAGCACGTAGGCGCAATCGACTCCATGTACATCAGCCAATTGGACAGCTCGTTGAACAAGCTGATGCCCGTGCAGGAACGCTCGCAGCGTTACGCGACGATTCAGGTCATCAACAGCTTCGGAAATCAGTTGATGGACATTTTGTGTCACAATTGCTCGGGCGGACACGACGTGTGCAAGATGCTCGCGTTGTCCTGCCTGGACAAGATCTTGGAATTGGACTACGATAACGCGTGGATGATCTATTTGGCGAGCAGAGGCTACCTGAAGCACATGATAGACAGTTTATTGGAGTCGGACGGTCTGTTGCGAGGCATGCTTCAACCGGAGCCGCAGACGATGCGGCCCTTGTACCTGTACGAGGCGAAGATGGCGATCTTCTGCAGGATGGCGTCAACGAGATTAGGCGCGGAGAGCTTGCTCGAGAACAAGATTTTGTCCTGCATGTCCAGTATGTGCGCGTACGATCAGCATCCGGACGTGCACTTGGGCTTCGAGGGCGGCGATTATTCGTTCATACCTTCGGTCGGGCAACGCTATCAGCAGATTTTCTTACCGGCTTTGTATCTCTGCGACGCTCTGTTCACCACGCTGGGAACGGAGAATCAGTCGTGTGCCGTGCAAGTCTGCGGATACCTGCAGAGTCACAGGGACACCGTAGAGATGGCCCTGAGAAACGCATTCTCGCACGCCAATGTCCTTTTCTTGAAGGAGATCGCGTGTCTCACCGGTGTGATATCTAGATCTGCTAATATAGGTTTGTATACTTAATGAAACACAACTGTTGTGATTGTATGTTTGTGCATTGCGTGAACTGTCTTTATATTATTATAATTATACTCCTATAAATGCAATTATTTTTCAGACATGTACAAACTCGTTGATGATGAATTGGCGAAAATAAATATAGATGATTACAAATTGGAGAGTAGCACCGGGATGAGGGAATTGCGAGCGCATCTGTACCGGTTGCAGAAATTGATGCTGTCGCTGTTGAACAAATTTCAGTTGCATTCGATCCCACTAAATTCTAATTACCCGCAAGCCGACGCAAATCAGCAATATATCGCTTGCATACAGATAGTTGCCAACGTTCTGCTGTACACACGTAATCAAGTAATGTCCTAAAGCGATGTAATTTATACGATGATTCAGAAATACTTAAGTGCCTTTTAAGAATTTTCAATGGACGTGCCTGTATATTGGAAGTCACGCTGTAAATTAATAATTTTCAGATGCAACACAGTTGTATGGATCAGAAAATACGGAATGTCTTGTTTGAGCCTCACTTGACGCCGAAACCTGGGAGAAGGCAAGATAAAATAAAAGATACCTCTGGTGGAGTGTGTTTGGGCACAATTGTCGAACAATTGGTTTCCATGACAAATTTGCTGCACACCGAGTTACCGTATATTGAGGTCCTGATAAAGAAAGCGCAAATGATAACTGACATGAGTACAGCGGAATTGAAAAAAGTAAGTACTATTTAAATCTTTCAATTGAATTTACTACACTGCCGTATGTACGCTATATTAGACATCTAACGCTATTGAATCTATTGACAGTACATGTCTGAAAACGAGATGGAACTCGATATAGGAAAGCAACGAATGCTCGTCGAGCAGAAATTAAATCGTTGGATAAAGGATAAGCGACAAAGCATAAAGTACTGCTCTCTTATAATAGAGCACGCTTTATACATTCTTTGGAGTCACTTGGATTTTTATACCATGCAAGTCATATCACGGCAAACCCAAAGAGTACATGGTTAGTGAAATATTTAATCTTTTATTATAAAAAAAAATATATTTTATGCATTTATGACGCATTATTTTGCAAGTTCTCAAACATTTAATATTGTAATATATTTGTTCGTACAGTATCCTCGGGTGGCGTCGACGAAAGTATGATAGAATGGAAGGTTTCGTCAGAAACACTAATGGAGCTGAAGCAAGGGCTCGTTTCCACATTTACGGACGCTTTTATCACACAGTTGTTGGACACAACACACAGCGAATACGCGACAGTAGACCGTAGCTTTATCGAAGCTCTTATAAGACGAATTAAAAGATTGTTACAATTTATAATTATAAAATAATGAACGTTTGCGTCTACGTACATAGTTTCAATTTTAATTACATATTTTTTTATTCCACTTTGTATACACCATTTATCGTTAATCGTCATTTTGTTATAATAATTTAGACAGTATTTGTATTAGAGGTGAAAAATAACGAAATTGATTATATTTTTAATTTGGAATTTCATATGTAGAACCGATTTTGATCTATTTAAATGAATCAGGTGAAAGTCATTTCTTCAAATCGTGTTTTTTTGCATCTCTTGCAAAAAATATGCTAATAGATTTGTATTAATATTTTTCTTCCACTTCTTTTTCTGATATTTGTATCATGCAGTAAAATATATTCTTGTAACATTATTTATTACATGAAAAATATAAACAATATGTAAAAATATATAATAAATATAGAATACTGTATTTCAAAGAGTACAATTTTGATACAATTTTTACATATTTGTTTTATATATACATATGTACAGATACGATTATTCATAAAGAAATCTAATTCTTTTTAAGAAGCGATTATTGCCTCGTCCCAAGGACCGTAAATGTTATCTTTATATTTCTGGCACTTGATATACCACAGTGGACAAACAAAATGAATGAATATTATAGCGATAATAAAAACGTAAGAAAACATTTGTGAAACAAATAAAAGCAAATATATGGTACCGATCGTCAGAATGGTCGACGTGACAATTTTATTATTTATTTGCGACAGTAGATAAGGTAACAGTACGAAGCACTGAACTGATACGGTCAACAGCGAAAAGGCGTGTAACGGAGACGCTAATCTGGAGGCCAACATTAACGAGCCAAAGATCGAGGAAGTTATGGACAAGGAGTCCGAGAGGCAGATCTGTGACGATCCGTACTTGCTAAATGTTAAATGGGTCAGGAACATCAATATCGTCATAGCGTAAATTGTATCGGTACTGATCGTTTCCGTCAAAGTTTTTAAGATGGGCGATAATATGTATCCGAATGTTAGAAATATTAATACAGTCCACAGATCCTTCGTTGGTTTTACAGGCCGATCGGGTACCTTTACGTTGTATACAAAATAGCCGAAAATCGTCAATACGCTTCCTGATATTACGATAACGTTCGGCGTGGTCCATTCGTTGTTCAGCCAAATGAATATCATGACGAAAAGTACAACGACGCTCAATCTCGTGGATATGCTGGCGCCCAAGCTTATCGCTTCTGTCAGCGTCACGCTATTCGGTTTTATATTTTTACGCAATTGCTCTAAGAACGAACTGTCCGTGTAATTGTCCGGCAATCCGTAATTTTCATACAAATTTTTCTGCCACTGCACGTCCTTCATGTTGCAAGCCAAGTACACCTTTAGGAATGTTCTCGTTCCTATAAAATTTCAAATAAGTTTGTGAATTATCTATATTGATCAGTACATATATTAGCGTATTATATGTAGTATTAAATCTCTCGTTACTTAACAATTAATAATTGTAACAATAATTGTGTTTATCGCTTCTCACAAGAAACTGCCACTAGTTTTTAGCTATAGAAAATCTATTGTTAATGTATAGTTAATAACTAACATGTCTCAAAATATGCAAATATATTAAAAATTATATTTTCTTCCCCGTGTGTGCAGTCAATCTTCCACCGGTATTATTTAGCACAATGTACTATTATGAATTATATGTATAAGGATGGTTATACTTTATAATATGTGTATAAACTCTTTGTTATAATACAAGTTGTCTGAAAACTTTGCTGATGGAAATCGAAATGGAATCATAATTTTTGTCAAAACTTAAGAATCAAAGCAAGCATTTACCGAAAATTTTGTCACTGTATACATCCCGAAACACAGTTGACAGTTCACAGTATGCCTTTATTTTTCATTAATCGCAGCTTATCTGAAGGTAAACCGCCGCGTGGGTAACTCCTCATGTGGATAATCCAGGATAATCAGCGAGCGGTGTGCCCGGCGACATGACCGATCATCGCTATACGTCCCCGCCGACGTCGCCATCTTTTCCCTCACCCGGGAAACTCTGCCCCGTCCCCGGGAGGAATTATCATCCTCCGAGATCGAGCGCCCTGGGAAATTTGTCGGGGGAACCGTCCGTTCATCCGCGCGGGAGACGCGCACTGGCGGCGGACTCGGCAAGTTTTGCTGCTTTTAGTGGAATTTATTTTCAAAATGGCTGCTACGAGGAGATTGCAAAAGGTAAATTCGAGGTAGCCGTCGTGGTCGGTCGCGCGACATCGACGGGGGGACCGGTTTCGCGGTCGTCGCCGAGCGTCGTCGCGCGTCGGCCGCGGACGAGCTTTCTCGCGCGATCGTTCGGTGCTCCCGGGCGGCGGGAACGGGGCACTCTCGCACACGTCACACAGTGCGCCCGTCCTCGCCTCGTCGTCGCTGACATCGGAGCCGCGGGGACTCCGTCGCCGTGCTCCTCCTCGCGCGCCGTTCGCAATGTCACCGGCGGCCCGGGGGCCCTTACTCCGCCTCCGGGGCCCGTCTCGCGGGCGTCGCGTCCCTCGCGGACGGGCCCCCCCGTCCGCGGTCGCTCCGACGGGCGGCCTCGAGACCCGGCGCAACACCGTGGCCCCTCACGGTTACACTTAGCCTGCGACTTTTTCCAGGAGCTCGGCGACCTCAGGGCGTCGGCGATGAAGAACTTCACAAATATCCAAGTAGACGAGTCCAATATCCTCACCTGGCAGGGCTTGATATTGCCGGTACGTTGCCACACGTCGTCGTCCTCTTCGTCGTGTCCCCCCCGGGAGTTCGAAGGAACACGTAACCTAAAACACGCGCGCGCGCGCGCGCGCTCGCGCGAGTGCAAAGTGCATGTCCCGCGAGATCCCGTGACTCATCCTGTTTCTCTCTCAAGTGTATCTCCTTACAATTTCTTTCGTACTCGAGGTGAGACAAACGTAGCTTACGTTCTTGAGAGAGAGGAAAGAAAGATAAAAAATGTTATTACTCAACGGTGTATGTCTAAAATACATTAATTGGATTAAATGGATTTTATACGCACATTTGTTACCTAATCGCTTGATTCGGACACTCCGATAAAACCGATTTAGTCTATTCTTGTCCTTTATATAGAAATCATTTTTAATACAAGTTTCCACAATAATGATACCCAAAAAAAATCGTTTAAACAATCGTACGAAAATTTATACACCTAACACTTGATTAGAGATATGTAAGTACTGGATAAGCTGCACGTATTGTAAAAATACAGTATATAATTTGTTAATTATGTTATTAATTTGTAGACTAATAATCTCTACATACAAGATTGATTGTAACTGATATATTTTATGTAGTAAAATATCATTTAGAAACGCTATTTCTTGCTTAAGAGAATAATATATATGTATAAGGTATTCTTATTGTAACATTTTATGTATGTAGTTGAATACTGCTATATAATTTCTTTTCGAATGCGATACATACTCCGATATTACTTCTGCAATATGTAATGCATGTTATTTTTATTAGTGATTTAGTATCAATGAAGAGATATAAGACAATTTTTTTTTCATAGGATAATCCACCTTATAACAAAGGCGCATTTCGCATCGAAATCAATTTTCCCGCAGAATACCCCTTTAAACCACCAAGAATAAATTTCAAAACAAAGATATATCATCCAAATGTAGACGAAAAGGGTCAAATATGTTTGCCAATTATAAGCGCGGAAAATTGGAAACCTGCTACAAAAACGGATCAAGGTCAGTTCCTGCAATTGACGACTACTTTATATATTTTAATGGCGATTTGTAAAAAGTGCTTCTAGGATTTAAATAATAAATGATATTTGTTGCATTTACAAAATTCATATTTCTGAAACAAATGTATGAATCTAATAATATAATTTCTTTTTTAAAAGAAAGAAAGAACATCTTTAATTTTAAATTGTGCTATTTACACTTGCAGTGATCCAAGCTTTGATAGCATTAGTGAATGATCCTGAGCCCGAGCATCCCTTGAGAGCGGATCTAGCTGAGGAATTTCTCAAGGATAGAAAAAAATTTTTTAAAAATGCCGAAGAGTTTACGAAAAAACATGCCGAGAAGAGGCGGGAATCATCATCTTCTAACGAATAACCCCGAATGATTAGCTTTACTTACCATCACCACCACGATGCCTGCCGCCCGTCAGCTGATTTAAACTCAAGCCAATGTATACCTGTCTGTTAATCCCCGTGGAATCTCACAGTTGAGATGACTCTGTACAGTATTGGTTAACACCGACGAATATGAATATATACGCAAATTGTAATGTTTATAAGAAGTGGGATGAACTTTTCAGAGTACAGTAAATTATGATAAATAACTGTATCATATTGTATACAATTTATACTTGAAGTCATATGCAATTATACTTTGATTTATCATCGAAAGATCGTTACATTCCAGCTTGATCTTGTAGGAATGTATACGATGATGAAAAGGTTCAGCATAGAGACGTCATGTTTGTCAGATGTAGCAGCGTATGTAACTACAGTACGTATTAAAGTACATATAATTTCCGATGTCGTTTAAGATGTTAATTTATAATTGCATTTCGAATTTATAGCTACTGCTTTATAACTGTTACTAATATTAAGATTACAAGTAATAAAAGAGAAACGATGTTTGCTCTCAATTTTTTAATCAATTTCTTGAAAATGAAACAGATAGTAATTACAAATTTCATTTGTAACAGAAAATTATAATTTTTTCAATCAACGATATTCTTCAATATTTTATAATGTTTTTCATTGATTAAAAGAAAATAAATTTTTTTGTATTTATTTTTGACTCCAAGTGATTGTACTTTTAGTGATTGTCTAAATGCAATTTAGATTCTCTTCATAGATGTTTCTGCAAATCTTATTTTATATCCTGTACAGAACTATCTTAGATTATTTTTTTTTTTATAATATGAAACCTGATGTATCAAATTTATGTACAGCATTGTCTGGCACACTTTTGTGATGATTATCAAAAAACAGGAACTAAGAAATAAAACATTAAATTTCTTTTTAAATGTCATTCAAATCATGAAAAAAATAATTAAAGGAGTAACCAACACACATATAACAAATATAGTTGAAAGCGTTGGAAAGAAGTCTAGTCATTTTTCTTTCCATTTGATTACCACAACTTCTGATTTCCACAGTGGGCTTAAAAGGCTAATGTTATATGAAAGTTGTGTGAATATTCTTTTTATATGGCCTGGTAATATATTTTAATGGGCAAAGAAGTTATTACAACTTCTACATATTAAGTATATGTAATATAATATACATACATATATACATATATATATATATATATGTATATGAACATAATATATAATGCGAAACTGACAAAAGCTCTAATTGCTGGAAATGTCTTCTTTGTACTATGTGTGCTGTGTTTATCGAATATTTGTATAGAATTAAGAAATATAATATTTCAAGAGTAGTAAGTTATATATATTTTGATATAAACGACGTGATATAAATTATTTCTCCCATATTTAACGTATTTTTAACAGAATTTTTAAAATCTTTATTATAATTATACGAAATAATTTATTATTTACATTTCACACAATCTCGATCTAACACTGTATAAATGTGAATCTAATTCATATTTATACAGTGATTTATAGCAACATTTTGAAAAGTATGCAAAATACTAATAAAATTTTATTTTGACATTTATTTCTGAACAGCACATATAGATAAATAATTGTAAAATGCTATAAAGATTGAAATTGCTATACCAGAAAATTCTTCGTTAACAATACTGAACATTGCGAATATATACGTATATCTTTAATAACAAATTATGTTTTATGTTTTGCAGTTATGAAAATGATAAAATAATTTTATTATTATTATAACTTGCTCTATATTGTACATTTAAATTTCTTGAGACAATAAAACATAGGGAGATAACATTAATCATTAATGTATCTCAAAGACTGTAAGAACATTAATTGGATATTATTGCTTATATGAACAATTTATACAGCAGGTTATCATTATGCATATGTGCAAATTGTATTCTCAATTGATAAGCTTACAGTTCTATTGTTAAATCATATAAATAACTCAGCATTTATTTTTAATATGATGAGTATTATATACATATGCTGTTTGGCTGTACGTTATTCTGCTATAGTATGTATATACAGTATATATACATATACATGTAAATTTCTTGAGGGTATTTTTTTAGGTAAACTGGATATTTTGTATCTGTCTAGCGTGTTAAACTTTGTATAGAAAATAAATGTATTGGGTGAGAGTGTTTCAGGAATAATAAGTGTTATAAAATTTTAATTTTATTTAGTTTTGTGTAAGAAAGGGTATATAGAACCCTCTTTTTTATTTAAATATTAAAACTTCATCTTAATAAATAAAAAGAAAATACAAATAAAAATAAAAATACCGACATCATTTGTCTTTCTTCACTACAACGTATGAAACCGTGCAATACATGCTTAAATTGAATTTCGACATTGTATTAAGAGATCCTCGCCTTTATTTAATCTCATGCGCACATTTTATCCTGTTAACACAAATTCTGCATCTCTCACAGATTCGTAGATCCCACTTTTGGCATACTATAATAAATAGTCTGTATTGTATCAAAACAATCAATATTGGACAGAATTACAATGAAATAATTGAGAAGCTAGGTGGAAGAGGCGGAAGCTGTTAAGTGTTTGTCAGCATTGGAGAGTGTACATGTTTTTATTATTGTATAAATTCAAATTATATATATATATATATAAATTATAGAAATTATATCTTAACTAATACATATTTAAAAATGGATCTAGTAGATGAAAATTAACGCTTACGTATTCTTTTTTTTTTTTTATATAAGAAAGTAAATATTATATTTAGGGGTGTGGAGTGCAGATTTTTAAAATAATATTGAGTTGTTGGAAATGAGACAAGTATATTCTTAATAATACATTCACATTACTTATTTACATATATAATTGATAGACATCAACGTAAATAAAACTATATGTAAATGTACCATTTTTCTTCCTAAATTCACGATATATTCAGATAATATTTGTTATCATAGACAATCACAGTCTTACAATTGTAGAAAAGTTCCTAATTGCGATATTATCAATGCGAATCTTCCATAACTTAATTGTATTTCGCATCGTTAGAAACGCACGTTAACTAAAATCTATCTAATTTAGAATACATATTTATTATAATGACATACTCACATGTATTACATGTCCTATTGTAATACAAGTGTAAGTCAAACAAATGCGCATGTAATTGAAATGTAAAAAAAGTTTATGAAGAGCAGATACAATCGCCATTATTACAAAAAATTAATATCTCCCTGATTTCAAATCTAAGCGCATCATTCCTCTGACACGTCGACCTTTTCCACCAAACTAATCAATTATCAAACGAATATCTTGCCATTCATTTCAATTACAGGGATGTTCCACGATAACAAGCGATAAAATTTCTAATTCAAATTAAATAGTTTATGAGTAACGAACACGATATCATCTTACACAGTTTTCAGCACCCAAAAATGACATTTTTTATTTTTTTTTGTGTATTTGCAATATCGTAATCCATATTTTACCATTTTCGATAATTTTCTCGACCATATATTCCTGTAAAGAACATTATAAATCGTAAATTTAAAGCTAAATAAATGTTGATATAATTATCAGAATATATAAACTGTCTAGAAATAAAATTTTTCTTGTTGACATGGAATATCCCTTGGACAATAATAATTCACAACCGAAGAAATGAGAACAGTAATGAGAAGATATAACAGTAATTACGCCACAAATGAATGGTGTAATAATGAATCAGTGAATAAAATATGAAGAATCATTAATGTGTAATAAGAGGATATATATTATTACAAATTACTTACATGTTTGTACACATCCAATATTGAATTCAGCATTAAGCAACATATGTATACACCTTTCTGTAAGTTGCAGAGAATGTATTAGTTTGTATTTCTGTATAGCAGTAGCGACACAATGTATAATAGTATACTTTACATACCGATCTTCCGGTGTACGAGCCAAGTATTCTCGTTCGATTAAGCCTTCGATACGTTTTTTAATTATTACAGGTGAAGGCAAAAATCGACCTCTCAACTGTTCTGTCACTTCCGTTACCAGTATATTGTGCTAGTAAAAGAGAAAATAAATTGATATTATCCTCTCATATATTCTATAAATTACAGCTCTCGAATAAAAAATAAATGCCTTTTTTCTACATTTGCAAAATATGCATCAGTGCATTAATCGTAATCGGTGAAGGTAAACTTGTATTATTGATAAAAAATTTCAAGTTACATACAGGCATACGCTTTCGAGCTTTCATAATTCGTACGATGGCTGCTTCAATCTCATGTTTTCGGTCTTCATCGACCTTATTGCGCGTCTCTCTTCTCTCGGGTTCAGATTCTCCCTTCGCCGCTACGGTCTGGATCTTTACTCTTAATAAAGTAATACGAATATTCAGTAAAATGGTTACATATATTACTAACATATACTACTCATTGTATAGAAAAAAATGATACCTATGTAATTTGCTGGTAAAACTGTCGTTTACGCAGAAACAGTTCGTAGATTCGATTTCCTTGGTACGAGGGTGTTTAAGTAAAATTCTTTGCGTAGCTTTACCCATGGCAAGAGATTGTAATGCTCTAACCAAGTCCCTCTCTGGAATATCGGTTTCACCTTGAATTTCCTACACAATATTCATACATATATATATATATATAGAAATTGTAAACCTTTTAATTCGTCATATAACAACATGTAAACGTGATTAAGTAGTTGTTAAAAATAATATTAAAATATAGTGAATTGTTAAACTAATATCAAAACTAACCTCGTATGTTAACCTTTCTCTCTTATTGAACAGCATTAGCACACACATTTGGTAAGTGGAAACTTGTATTATGTGCTTTCGTGGTGTATTACACTGACTGCTTCGCTGGCTCACTTGACTGCCGCTTGTGCTGCTACCATTCCCAATAGAACTTGAAGACGACGGAGTATCTAAACCTCCACAATTACTCTCCTCTCTTCGTGGTCCGTAGAATACAGCGTTTAGATCGGCAGAGCCTTAACATAAATTTTTGTTATTTCACTCATTATGTTACCAAACGAGAAAAACAGTGTAAAAACAGAAAAGATATACAAAGATAATAACTTACCTAATTGTGGTTGTAACGTTAATTGTCGACCGCTATGTTTAGCCAGGTAGAAACGCCGGAAAGCATCAAAGGCATCACGCGGAGCAGTGGGCATACTGCACTTCGGAGTGGCTGACTGCGTTGGCCAGAAACCAGTTGTGAGCACCCGGACGCTTATATCCACACCATGCAGATTTGCCTTTATAAAACATAACAGAATAATTAATGATATACGAGATATACACATAAATATTAACTTTTTTACAAAAATGTTCCAAATAACCGTAATCCAAATATTATGTATTAACAATCTTGTCTATTTGTAACTTAATTGTACACTAATTTATAACATATTAAAATATTAAAATTAATTTTCATAAAATTTTAATATCAAAATTGTAGAAATCTTTAAAATCTATTCTCTCATAATAAAATCTTTTATTATATTCTCTCTCGTATTCAAATCTATACTTTTTATTATTTTGATACTTACGCCTGATGTAAGGACATGATCCTTAAATTCGTCCATAATAGTGTTACTGACTGTTATATCTTTAAACATGCCTTCCAACTTTGACGTGAACTGACATCCACATTCAGTCTGAAAAATAAAAAACATTAGGAACACGTTATTAATTTCTAATTATATTACACGTTATTAATTTCTATTAATATAAGAATGTATAAGCAACATCACAATTCAGGTATGAACAAAATAATTTTGGCCTAAAATTATTATCTAGTTTTAGGTCTCACCTTAAGTTTGGATATCATATTTTTTTCACTATCATCAGAAACAGACTTATTCAACAATAATCGTTTGGCTAAGTGTTGTTTATAGTACCGTTCAAATACATCCTTTTCTTGTAAGAAACGGAATAAAACCATAGTTTTATCTAGGATCCCTTCAATCTCCTGCTCTGTCATCTAAAACCAAACATATATTTATGTATCGAAAATCATAAAATCACGCAATATAATAATGCATTTATATATGTAGATAATACTAACTCCCTTGACGCCTTTCTTCAGTTTGTCATCGATAAACAATGAGAGATATTCCGGACTTTTAGGATTTAAATTAAGGAAATATTCAAAGTCCGATGCTATCATCTGTTTATAATTCTTGTCATTATTGAAAGAATAATGTAGAAAATGATCGAAGCGATCCTTTAGATCTAACAAGTTTTGGACGTAAAGAACGGCATTTGTGGTTGATTCATGCTCTTCTTGAACTAACGCACGGCCCTGCTCTCTAAGGAATTGAGATACACAATCGCATACAGTGCGCAATCCATCTGACACTCTCGAAAATAGTTTATACATACAACCAAGATCTTCCGTTTTCTGATTTTTGAGCATGTGCACTACACCACTGTTTTCCATCTATCAAACACATGAAAAATGTTACGATTAGTATTTAACAACACAATACACAATATAAGCTCAACAATTAATATAATTTATAAATAAAAAAAAAATAAACGCACCTCAACAATGGTTTTCATGTGTATTTTGATTAACTCTTCTTCTACAACCTCTACTATCCGTGATTCAGTGGATTCATCTAAATAATGTTTTGCCCTTTCAGATTCCTCACAGATTCTAGCTTCAACTTTTTTTATGTATACCGATGCACTATTTTCTGCCAAAAATTTTTGAGATTCCATCTGAAAAAAGAAAATAAATTTTGAAAATTACATATATATGTACAGAGCGGGTATATCAAACGCACTTCTTCTAGACACTCACTCTATAAAACTCGGCACTTTGTTGCAAAAAAGGCCTTTCAAAATCTTCCTCGTAAACTTGGCGATTGTTAATTCCAAGTAACATTAACATTTGGCAGGCATTTTTTATAGCGCTACGATCTACAACTTCTCCTCTTCTTTCCCTCGCGACCATACCTAACAATGTTTCCCGTAAATGATCTCTAACACATCCATATCTGACCACCTAAAATCAATAAGAAATTTGTTATCATATTAAACATATTTAACAATCATTCATTTTACATAAATGAACAATTGCAACAACTTAATGTTGCAAAATCAAAGACTGTTTTAGTATAATAGAATTTTAAGATATCTAGATTCCTTATAAGGCAATACAACATTAAAACGTCTGAAAATTACCTGATCTCGAAAAATAATTAATCCAAGATTATACACATTGTCTACATCATTCTGCTGAACATACACTCTGTCCATGTACATCAAGATATCCCTGATCATCACCATTGATGTTTGATGATCGTTCCACGCTAGATTCAAAGTTTGTAGGAAGTTGTTATGTAGGGAACGAAGAACATCCTCTCGCACTTTGTTTTCAAGATGTTGCGTTACGACTTCTTTCAATCCTGTATACAATCGTTCACCGTACTTGTGAAGAACCATTGTATAAGCATTGCGATAAAGTTCTTCAAAACTGAGGCCAGAGTTATTTTTCTTCTGTATCTCTTGGATAGCACTCTTCAATAAGGCCCAGATACTTTCTACATACTTCTCATCCATAGTTGTCTGCGAAAAACAGAGTGTTCATAACAGTTAATTGACTGTCTATTAAATGACAGAACTAAATTAATGTTTCTATTCATTCTTGTTAAAAAAAAAAAGAAATAAATGCTTATATGTGATAATTTATAATATTACAATTGCAAATATAAAGTATATTAAATCATAAAAATGTAATTGCTTATAAAAAATGTTAACTTATGCTTACTACATAAGTACGGTAAAGAGATATAATTAATAATGATTCTCACAAGAGTGCTACGAATTATGAGAGGATTGCTTTTGTGTATTAATCCCAATGCAGGAATTGTATGTGTCTGGACCACTCTGCTCCCTTGCCGCATATCATCTTCATTTTGATAATCCATGATTCTATTTCTTTTTATGTACAGATTTTGCTTGTATATTTTTGTTCTGTCATAACCTTGATCATAAAAATATATATTTATAAACAAGTTTCGGAAAGAGAATTACTGTTTTCCCTTTCAACATTTTATGATATTTATGCCTGTACCAAATGGATAGTTTATATTATCAACCATTAAAAAACGCAAACAAGTCTAACATACTAATAAAATAAAATTTAATAGAATTATACAAATAATCATAAGATACAGTTACAGACTCCCTATTAAATTTGTAACAAGATTAGATTTTTTTTAATTTTCAATATTCATTTGTCATATTCATTATGGAAAAACTTTATCAGAGAGAAGATAATTATGTATTAAAGTAAAATTAAAAATTTAGTTTTAAAAATAAAGTCAAGCTCTCATAAAGTTGTGTTTACGAAAACTGGAAAAGCAAGTTGAAGAATATACAATATCTATGAAATAATTCTTTATATAACCTATTATGTATAAAAACTATACAAGCAAAATGTTTGTACATAGTAAAGATTCTTGTTAATATCATTGCATGTCAATTTCTTCGTAAATTACTGGTAACGTACTGGTCATTTTACCTTATTATGTTATTCGTTACTAAAATGCAAAGTATTTTTAGCATTGTAAATTTGACAAACAGTAAGTATGACATTTAAGAATTTAGCATGGTTATGTAGCTATGCTTTATTACAACTGTCTTTTATACTACTATGGTAACCATTAATTGTCAACCTTTTTTATATATACTTCTAATCACCAACATATTTATTTTTATATGTACTTCTAATCACCAACATATTTATTCAATTCGAATATTGCATGTGGTAATAAGTAACATGATTAGAATATAATTACAGAGTTAGAGAAAAATTTTAAATATAAGAAAAATATAAACATGTAAAATTTAATTTGTAGAGTATATATATCATTATATATAGTATTTTATTTTGTAAATATTATATGTTTAAATTACTAATATCTACTATAGAGGTCTAAAATAGGGATATTACGTTTTACAAACTTGGCATGATATTAATTTTATATCGTTATTTATTTTGTAGTTTATACATTTAACTAAATAAATTGTTGAATTGTATGAAAAATTAATTATTGTCACCACATAAATCGTCAATTTCAAATTAATATATACATATAATATTAAATAAATAACTACTTAAAAAATAATTGCAGGTGTTTCATTTCATTTAAACAAAGATGATCCATCATCATCTCGGTCTCCTTGTTTTTTACATAATCTTATATTTTTCAATTGTATAAATCATTTGTATCGTTCGTGAGCTGACATTTCAAGTGCAAGGATATAAAAAAAATATATATATATAGATCGTATGGAGCATGAGATTGTGTTAAGTATGTATAAAGATAAACGCGAGTTGGCAGACGTGTACTGCATCACGCACGGTCTGGAAAGGTATCCCGACGATACTCGGGCAAAAACCACGAGTTTTGCGAGTCCTCCTCGTCGCCAGTGCGGACGCGAATGCACGCGTCTCCACGTCCCACGATCGAGCCGTTGCGACGAGGAGTCTAGGATCTTGTTTTCTATACCTGAACTGGAGTACACTCTTTGCACTTGAAGTGAAACGGTATATACGCTTGATATTCAGTAAAAGTGAGAAAGTTCTGATGCAGGAATAGAAAACAGACCACCAACAACTCGGCAGGGAGGGGGAGGGGGGAAGGATCCGTTTTCTATACCTGAACGAGTGTACGCTGTTTACACTTGAAGTGGAATAAGGATACGCTCGATATTTGTTGTAAAAGCGAGAAAGTTTTAGTACGATCCGGTGCGGGAGTAGAAAACAGACTCCTCGCGCTCGCGGATTTATATTTACAATCGACGCGCCGTGTCGTGTCCCATGGACTCTCCTCAGGTAGGTTATGGGATATGTTGTTTATAAACGCGGCATCGGATGCATCTTTCCTGCGCGCCCGTTGTGTCGCGCTGCCGCGGGCACAAGGGCGCAAAATAAATAATTAACAAGACATTACGCACACACACGCGCGCGTAAACGCAAAACGACACGGCGCGTGGAGGGTGGACGCGAAGGGGGATTAGGGGGAGGGGGGGAGGGGGCCGCGGACGAGAGGCGACGGCGAGTACCCAGGACCCGCGAGAGGGACCCCTCTTTCTCTCGCGCCCCCCCTGCCGCCCACCTTCCCTCTCCTCCCCCGCCCGCGCGTTTCGTTTCGACCCGCGGGACAACTACTCACCGGGAAAGCACGTATGCGCATCTTGCTCTCCTTCTTCATCAGAGCACTGCTCTTCATCATGTCGGGTTTTCGGTCACAGGCGCGTCGAAGGTGTACACCTCTCCTCAGAAATGCCGTCCCGACGTGAAGGCTGCCTCGGCGAGCGCGCGACGCCGCGTGCACATCGACGCACGGAACACACACGCGCCCGCGCGCACGTACTCACGCACACAGTCACACACACGCACACGCGCGCGCGCACACGCACACAAACTACACACAACGCACACACACCGTTGCTGCGGGCCTGGGACTCTCTTCTAAGCGCAGCGGGTGAAACCCATTTACGTATCGGGAACAGCCGATGATGACGATAATAATGATGATGATGATGCTCGCACACCTCGCCTCGTGTAGAGAAATGACGGTAGGCACGCGCGATTACTGGTCGGCACTGCTCGCGGGGACCACAACGTGGTGACGACCGACGGCGAATAATCCTTTCTTCTTCTTCCTCCTCCGACCCGAGCGGCCGAGCACATTTAACGACGCCTCTCCCGTGGGCGAGCACTACTACTATCCTTCCTGGCCCGGCGAGCGAGATGCCGTGGCTACGAGGAATAAAAGATGCCTTCAACGATTGAAGGGAAAAGCGATGACGAACGGACTACGAAGTACGGAGCACGAGAGAGAGACAGAGAGAGAGAGAGAGGGAGGGTGAGACAAAGAGGGGGCGGCGGGGGGTAGGGAGACGAGAAAAGTGCGAGAGAGAGAGAGAGAGAGAGAGACAGAGGGAGAGACGGTAGCATGAACAGGCAGACACGATGGAGTCGAACGAGTCACGGTCGGGAGGGGAAAAAAATCGCTCGCGCTCCTCCTGTCAACAAGCCGAGGCGGCCGATCGCTTCGTTTTCCCGTCCGGTGCCACGAGACGGCGGCCCGATTCGCGGTGGCGGCGCGGCGGCGGCGGCGGATCGCTCTCACCGATCTCAATGAGGCAGCCGCGAGCGCGAGCGCGGTCGTCCTCGTGACATAATTGTGGAGCACGGTGGAACGGCGATGCGGCGACGACGACGACGACGACTGCGGGTTCTCGTCGTTGCGGCGCGAGTAACACCGCCGCTGTCAGGAGCAGGGACACACGGGGATATCCGCCACTATTCGCAAGCGACGAACGATGCTCGCGACACATGAATCACGACCACCAACGGGCACTGCGTGCGTAGCGTTCCTAGGATCGCCCTCCTCGCTGCTCGTCGGACACATCGACTGCCTCGTGCGACCGCGCGGCCGCCCTAGCGTCGCGACCGCGCACCACGCGCGCCACTTCCGCTCGACCATCGGCCGGTAAGGACGGTATTGATGCTAAAGCCTGCATTGAGGAACCAAGTGATCCCAACTGATCCAAGTACTAGAGTTGGACAGCTGATAGCAGATAGCCAGAGAGAAGGCAGATAGCTGCTAGAAAAAACGAGTATATGATCCAACGTGAATGAGGGTCAATTTAGAATCAAAACATTTTTGTTTCTTCAAATATAATTAATTAGTGCTCGTAAGAAGTGTTAAAAAAAAAACACTCTTCTCCAGTACTTTAATTTAGCGAAAATAAATAAAGATCGAAGAAGCGTAAATCGAGTGTAAGGGAAAAGAGGCGTAAACGTAAGCTTCTAGGAAGCGTATAATTGGAATAGCCGGGATAGCGAAATGTTACACTTTCGTGCACTGGTCCATTCTCCTCGTACATTCGACTTTCGCTTCGATTTTTATTTCCGCCAGGACTTTACAATTTCTATCTCCGGAGGAACGCACCCAAGAAAATTGTATCGCACTTTTCGTCTCTCTCCCCTTTCCCCGCATCGAATCATATACATATCAGCTGTTTTGTTTCAAGCGTAAATACAGAGATATAGGACAGCTACAAGAAACACAGAGATAAACTCTGTTTATTTCCACTCTATTTCTCTTTTCGTTCTTTTTCTAGATTTGTTCCAATATCTATTCCTTATTGATTCGTGATACGTTGCATTTTTTGAAATCAAAATAAAAACAAAAAAAATTGAGAAAAAAAAGGAATAGAAAGTTTATCTGCAAAAAGGAAGTTTTTTTCAAAACCTAAAGTATAACGTTTTGTTTCGAATACGAGAAATTCAACAATATTAATTCGTGAAAGTTCTGTATCATTTTTCCCATTCATGTCGCCGCCTTTTTTTATTCATCTCTCTGTTTTTTTCTAATATATATCACAAACTTTGACTTGCAAAAAGAAATTGGAAAACGTTGTTCTAATCTGTTTTAATTCTTTTCAAAGCTTCATAAAAAAATGGATGAGATTCTAAAATACAATGCAGAGAGTGCACTTACAAATTAGATCTAAAATTTCTCCAAGTAAGTAATTTAAATCAGATCAAGAATTGCAGTGAAAGAAGAAAACATGGGAAATATAAAGGATATTATACAATCCAATTTTTTTCTTGCCACATTTTTCAATTTTATTATCAGAGCTATTCCTAAATATTTCACAAATGTTTATCGTGTCTCTCCTTTTTACAAAAATGCAAAATTTTAAATTGTTTAAATTGTCTTTGGAATACAAAAATCTTCCTATTTTAGTTGTCGTTATTTAACTTTTATTCTATTCTTCACGTTTCCATGCAATGCGTTGCGTATAATATTTTTTCCACGTAAATTGTAATGTAGTAATTTCCACATTATATTATAATGACGTACAGTTATCATTTAAAAAGTTATATGTTTAATGTTAAATTACTACTTAATAGATACAATTTGCATTAAAATAATTTTAAAATATTTAGGACTTTGTCATATGTGTCATTTTAATGTACCACAAGATTATTATAAGAGCACTGAAGTTACAAATCCTTTCAAACATCGGAAAGTGAAAGTTCCTCCGAGTGATTACTAGGCCTTATATCAATGATTATAAATATACATACATATATAAAGACTACAATTGCACGACTATTTCTATTAGCGATAAAATTAGATAAATGGAATCATACTTATTACAGCAATATCCGTATAAGCGTCGATACATCACAATCTTTTAGTTATCAGTAATAATTATTATCGTACATAGTCACAAATCTGAGATCAGTTTATAGAATCAGCTCAACCCAGGTATACTTAAGTCAGGAGCGGTCATATAAACTATCATTATTCCTATAATGCTTACGATAATCGCTAAAATCCACGCGCTGCGATACTTGTTCCTCGCGTTTTCCTTGAACTGTTTCGAATTCTCGTACTTGTCTTTCCTCTTTCGTCGCGGCTTGAACTTCTTCTCGAATTTCTCGATCTCTTCCCGATTGCGCAGCTCCTCCTCTTCCAGCTTCTTCGCTATCATAGCTTCTTGGGCTTCTTTTCTCTCATTCTTCAATGACTCGCATACGCTGTCGCACTCCACGGTAAAATGCTCCTTTTGAAGATGCGAACAAAGAAAGTCCTTCTTGATCCGCTTACACTTACACCATAATCTGACTTTCTTGTTGCAGCCCTCCCCGCCTTTGCATTCCCCTGGATGGCAATCATTGACGCAACGGTGGCCGCATGCATACTGAATCAAAGAAACAAATTACGCTTCGTTTAGATAAAAAAAAAACCAAAGAATTTATACATATTTCACTGAACATATTTGTATAGTTACATTTTTTGGGCATTGGTTTCCGCATTTGAGTAACTCATCCCGTTCCTTGCTCGTTGCAGACGTCAAGTTGACGCAGTGCCGGTAAAGGGTGCTGATACCGCAATGGCAGGAGACTCGTACCAATTGCTTGCACGGTTTACACGGGGCCGGGTGACAAGGTCGCGGGCACGTGTGCGCGCAACCTGGCGGTCGTGCGAAACTGCACTCCCTCTCGCACTCCGTGCACGGAGCGCCGTTGTTGGACTCGTCGCCGGACGTCTGTAGCTTGTGACAGGTCAGCTCGCAGGTGTGATTCTTGCACGGTAATAGCTGGCCGCAAGGTCTGCCGCAGGAGCTCGGTTTCGACATGTGACACGGCCAAGGGCGCGTCTCGTGACCGCCGAGGCAGGTCACAGGCACGGAAACCTCGCACGGCGGACACGGCAAGGTCTTCAGCTCCATGATGTCCTTCCCAGGTTTTTCCCAGGGCCCGACAGGCTGCGCCTTCACTCCGTTCGCGCGAATCTTCACCCAGACCTTCGTGTGGCAGGTGGCCGGGCAAGAGTGGCCGCATCTCTTGTGCGTCAGCGCGCAGACCTTTTTACACGGCGGACACGGGCCCTGATGACACTTGTGCGTCTCCCTCTTGCTGTGGTGGCAGATAGGTGGGATCTTGCACGACTTGTTGCACGGCGGTGGCCGGATTCTCTTCCTGGTGCCGCACGGCACCGTGATCCTGCTGCCGCCGCATCGGCACTGTATAACGTCCGTTCTGGTGCACGGATAGCAGGGACCGCTGTGGCAAGGCGCGGCGCATTTGTGCTTGCGGCAGTTGAGCGCGTTCTCGCACGTTTTCTCACAGGGATTGGACGTGTTCCTCGATATGCAATCGCAGCACTTCCTGTTGCACAGATGTCTACCGCACAAGCGCATCTGCATGCATTTCTTGTTGCAGTGGAACTCCTTCGCGCAGGCGATCTCCTTCGTGTAACTGCCGCATCGGCACGCCTTCGTTACGACCTCTAAGCACTGGCCGCACCGATCGGTGTGACATCTCATGTTGCAGAAGTGCGAGCCGCATTCCAACAACTTGCCGCACGTATCACCGCACGTCGGCACCTGTTGCCGCTTGCAGGAAACATCGTACCGTTTTTTCCCGCAAGGACAGCATCTGTTCTTCTCCAGGGGACAGTTGCCGCAATCGCCTGGTAGATGACAAGTGCTCTCGCAGCTGTGTACGTTGCAAGAGAATCTCCTGTTGCAAGGTTTCTCGCAAATCCACGTGCCCTCGCAGCACTTCCCTACTCTCTCGTTACTCTTGCAACGGCATTTCAACAATACTGTCTCTACGCAAGGGCTGCATTCTCCGGTGTGACACAGGCTGTTACAAGTGTGCGGGCAAGATTCGTATTTTCGGTTGCATACAGTTCCACAGCTCCAATTTTTGGCGTTGCAACGTCGCGGTTGCGCCGGCAGCTTGCCGCAGTAACATTTAACCGACACCATCTTGGCGCAGGGCGGACACGGACCGGGATGGCAGAGCAGCACGCACTTGTGACCGCATTCTGGTTGCAGGAGCTTGCCGCAGGCCTCGCCGCAGGAATGCGGAATAACCCACGGCTGATACAGAGGATCCGCGGTCTTTTTGCAGAAGCACTTGTACGATCTTGGAATCTGATCCTGGTCGTAATCCATACGGCATTTTGGACTGCAATATGTGCATTTTTTCCGTTTAATTAGAGATTCTATTAGAGGGATTGCGCTTTTCATATGGAACTCTATTTTAAAGTAATGGCAGATATATACCATGCCCAGATCGGTGTGATTCCTTTAGCCCGTTTGTAGCTCAAACTGTCGTTGATCCAGTGCAGGATGCAGGACATGTGTAGAAATGCGTAGCATTTGTCGCAGTTCCATATCTGCATAGAAAAAAAATAGAGAAATGACAATAAACTACTTCAGAGTTTTCAATTGCATTTATAAAATTTAAAAATGGTTCTGTTCTTATTTAGATACCAATACTTATACTAAATTAGAGAGAACTTAGTAGAAAATAATATCTGACCTTGCATACAATATTTAAAAATACATTAACGATGCATTGAGATATCAGAATAGAGTAATACTGTACTACGACGTTAATATATCATATTACGTAAACATACCGGATCTATCTTCTTGACAGTTGATATACATATTAAACAAACAGCGCTGCTGGTTTGAAAGGAATTAACCAAGTACGATATCACTTTCTCCGCATCTGTGCTCTGTCCCTGGTACGCCGACAATACTTTGCCCACCACATTTTGGACCTCTTCTTCATTTGTCTCATCTTCCTCTTCGCTAGACGAATTCAACGATGCGTTGGCTTCCAAGTGCCTTTCGATAGACAGTTTATTCTGTGCTTGAGCCCTTTTAAATTTCTGCATCTTGAAACTCTAAAATTTTATATTATAAATTAGTGACAAATTCAAAACTTGATTATAAAGATGAGTTAATGCTAAATCATACATGTATGTACAAGTTTCAAATCTAATAATTTTATTTGAAAAAGCAAATAGAAAAATAATTTTAATATGTATGTAAGCATAGTAGACATCTCATCTTCAGCAGTCAATAACGAAAACGTACGTGTATTGTTTCTGCCGCAATTAACCAAAGTACTTATTTATCTCACAAGTTGATACATAATTTTTATTAAGATCTACCAAAAATATACCTAGAGTTGCATACTAGATTCGTTTTATCACAAAATTATCATCGAATCTGACATTTCGCTGGAATAGCTAGTGTTTAACCGGCAAGATACTCTGATTTTTGTCAACAGGAGGAGAGAGTGATTACAGATGATTTGATAATTTGGTCTTGGTCTACAATTACCGATTTTTCTTCGTTTGTGTCGATTTTAGCTAATCATAACTGATCACCAGCTATCAAACTATCTTCGAGATAATTTTTTACGACTGTATGTATGTACATACATACAATTTTACCACGTATACACATTACACACTGGTTAAGCTACGACAGTAAAAGCGTCGGCATCTTTGACATTGAGGTTATGAAACACATGACCTACCGCCATAGCTTTGTTTGAAAAAAGCGCCAAGTTTCAAAAAGTATTTCGGGATTTTCGTCACGTAATTAATTGTTTTGATGCTAATAATAAGCGTCAGCATAATGTAGATATGGAATCGTAGTCATAGGTCCATTTTTACCAATGTAGATTAACTTTAATCTCGGTTTAATTTATTCTTTACCTTCTTCTAATTTTTTAGAACTAGAAAAAGGCAAAAATTAAGTTAAACCAAGATTAAAGTTAATCTACATTAATAGAAATGAACATAAGAAATATATCCTTAAGAAAAATATAAAAATATCAAGTTATACAGAATATAAAAAAGTTCAATATTTATAACTAGATACATACATGTATACGGAAGAGCAGCAAGATGTAAAAAAAGAAATGTATCGCCGCAGAACCTCATCATGGTGAAAATTGGTGCAAAATTTCCAAAAATATAGCAAATTGGTGTTTGAGTATAGATCAAATCTTAAATGCAAAAGAATTACCCATTCCTATATAAAAATTATTGTGACAAATCAGAGCTTAACTATCATATGTAACTATCATAAACTTAGCTATATGTAAGTTTGTGAATAAATCTGAATAAACTTCACTGGATTCTATATTTTTATTTTTTGTATCACTTTAAACGTTTTGATTTTTCCAGTTGTATCAATTGGATAGTTTTAAACAGCTTTAAATATCTATGATTTGATTTTCTTTAGAAAACTTTTTTCATGGTTCGAATATTCTATTCTAGATTTTATAATTCTGTAAATAACAACTTTGAACAGATCTTAAAATTATATAACAGAATTTTTAAAAAATAAAATTCTAGGGATTCTACGGTTTTGTAAATGACGAATCGTATTGTGCAAAATATTGTAATATAACTTCATAACATATACAATGAAATTTTATTGACAAGGTCCTTTATAAAATCTTAAGGCACTATTCTTACGTGCTTAGAAATTACATTTACACATGCTAAATCGGGTTTGCACAATTTGTAAATCACAAATCGCTGAACGTTACTGCGAATGTGTGTACGTATGTGAATGTGTGTGTAACATTAATCTCAAAAGTGTCAGACTTACATTTACATTACAACTTCGTTAGCAATGAGATCGTTAATGCTAAAGCTACACTTGATATGCAGAAATGTTAAACGTATACACATATAAGTTGCAACGTGCGAAGTAAATTTGTGAGCTTAACATAATTTGAATTTCGTAACAAGTAAGGCACTTAAACTACGTCTGATCGTAGACACCGAACGAAACATTTAATATATAATAAATCAACATACAATAAATCAAGGAATGTTGCATTTGAAACCTGCAAATGTCGCCAAGTATGCTACATCAATACATTATCTAATATCTAGTGTATAGTAAATATATTAAACATTCAAAAACATATATATACTGTAGTTACATGTGCGTAATTATTTTTAAAAAGGCAGACTATCTAAATCAAAATAAACATCTATTTGTGTTTGCATTTTTCTTCTTTATCCACAGATATTGAGCTAATTTACACAATTTGATTTTATGTTTTACAAAAGTACCAACTCTGTAAAGTAATATAAAATGTTTCATAATGTCCATATATATATATACTATATATATACATAATATAAAATATCTAAAATGTTATTTTTCATTTATGTAACAATTATTTTGTTCTTATGGACGGATACAAAGTAAAGCCACTAGTAAGAATTATTATATAATCGCGTAATTTATAAAAAAAATCTATATTTTACAGTAAGAAGTATCAAGATATAAAATTCTTGAATTATTAACTTAATATGATCTTATATGCATAATGGCATTGTCGTGTGATTATGCTATCAAGATAAGACTAATAATGTTTGATTTGCGAACACATTCATGTGTATAAATATCGTTGTTATTAAAAAATGTATGTTCTTCAGCAATTTAACTCAAAAAGAGTAAATTCAATGTACTTAATAATGAATAAATTTTCGTATTATTCAATGTACTTAATAACGAATACATTTTCGTATCATAATAAACGGTTCAAAATATTATATAAGCAATATTATATCAATTTATAAAATTGTCTCAATTATTGTCCGTATATATATGTATATACTGCACTTATTATTTTATATAATTTTTCAAAATTGTAATACAAATTTTTTAAATTTTACTTTAATAATTTATGGCATTTTTTTTAACAATTTCGTCATCTTTTAAGAGCAATTAATGCATTTAAAAACCTAAGTATAAAAAAATAAATATAAAAAGATTGTCAATTTTTTGTATAATGGTAACTTAAGTATTAAACAGCTGTTTGTGGTACTCCCTGTACTAAAAGTGTCTTGCTTTTAGCTTTCGGCAGTGCGGATTGACTCATTGTCTTTGCCATTTTAGGCTGACCATTAGGCGAGCTCGTGACAAAACCTTCTGATCTCATATCTTTCAACGAGACATTAGAATTGCTACGTAATGAGGGTGTAGAACTGAATTTTCTGTTATGTGCTAAACGTTCTTGTAACCTTGTCTCATTTTGACGCGGTATTCTAGCCTTTACTGGTACATCGCGATACTCGTATATATTTTCTTTAGATGAGCGGGTTAAATTCTCGATTCCCTCGGAGTGCTCATCGTCTCGTACCATCAGGATGTCTCCGCTATAGTAGTGATCGGACTGTCTGTGGAGAAAATGATACAGAAGAACATTATACATACGATAGAAAAGAAATGTATAAAATCTAAGTAAAAGTTAAATCAATAATTTAATCACTTATTTAATTTGAACCTTTTTTTCCTGTAAATTATATAATATATATAAAATAATATGTGCAACTAATAAAGCACTAATATGTGATAGGCAAAATTTATTGTGCAAAATTGTGCATAAAGTATTTTCTATAAATACCTGCACGTGTCCTAGTTGCCTTCGTTTTGCTAATTGTAAGCAGGAATAAAGTTAATTTAGCAATTTATATTTAGAAATGGTTATGTGAAAAGTAAGAAAGAGAAACCGTATCTCCCGCAACGATTGTGTCAATAAAACTAGAACCAGTTTTTGCATGCGCTACCGTTCGGTACAGCAGGTGCCACCGAGTTAAGCTGTAGTCACATGGATTTGGTTCTGTTTACCTTTTCTTACCTTTTGGCATTACGCCAAAGCATACAACACACCACAGAAAGCACAAGTAGCAGCAGGCTCGCCGTCGACATCGACCAAAACGCGATTTGCAGTGGCTCTTTAGGTTCCCACCAATACTGTACAAATTGAATACAATTAATATAATTCAATAAGAATACATGAAATATGTATACTATATAACAATATCTTACTTCGGTAACGGGAGGATATGTAGGGACAAGATAACCGATAACAGTTGGCAAATACATGGACCAGAATGCGCTCTCGGTTTGACGATAATTTATTTCAATGGAGCTGTTGAATGTCGTATTGATATTGAGGTATCGCAACTGTCCATGACGCGCGAGATCAAAGTGCAATCCCAAGATTTGTGAAGGCGTTGGATTTCTAGAATGAAATTAAATTGTTTTTTTTTCACCTTATCGTACAAGCAAACAGCTTAGCGTTATTAGATACATACCCGTATTTTGCAAAATTGGAGTACGCTTTCATGAAAAAGTGGCTCATGTTACGATCATTATCGGTCCATACATCTCGATTTAATCTCCATTTTTGCGGGAAGAATTCTACGTTAATTAATATCTATTAATAGAAGCTGTGCGTTTAATGTGTTTTTAAATTAAAGATATTTGGAAGAACATACCAACGTCCATGAACGGTGCTCCTGTTAGCCATAGAAGTTCGGTATCATGGGGTACCCTAGCCCAGTGTGGCGAGTAGATTGCTTCTATCGAGGTATTTAAGACATAGAGATACGTCGGTACGTGTCTCTCTACCAATAATTTTGCTATTTTATCATATGGTGCGACATAGTGAAAGTCTGATAAGAGCTGAAAATATTAATAACAATTAAAGTCAATAATTTTACATGAAATTTAATTCCACTTTCCATCACTTAACACCACTTTCATACACTACCTACATTTATATACTGATCACGTATATGCGTGACATTTAATGGATCCGGCCAATACGTATACATATATTTTATCGCCTCAAAAATGCCTTGAGGATTCAGGGTGTAATTGTATTGAAGAACTAATTCCCAAATCCTTTGATCAAATACCTCAGGGGTTATTACGTATTGATTCCTTTGTAATGTAACATTATTTTCTGTAAAACAAATAAGAACATAATATACGCTGCATATAATACAATTGCATCAAATAAACAATTAACTTACAGTAATAAAATTCGAAGAATATGTGAACATAATTAAATGAAAATGAGTGAGCGAATTAAATAGATGACATACTTATAATAAATGCCGCTTCCTGAGTCGTTACGCCAGCCATGTAAGACAAATCTTTCCTGTATCTGCGAGCTTTGATACTCTCTTCAGGCGTTTCCGTAAAAAAGCGCCAGTCCATCGCTCTCCAATCCTCGTACCAATCATCTTGAGGTACCGTAAAATTGAGATCCAACACAGGTGCCCATGGGAACATTCCGACGTGTGGTTTTAATTCAGAATTGCCTAACTCAAGGAAACTACGTCCATCCCTCAAGCATTGTACCAATTTCCAACTGCTCTCTATACTGCAACCGAGCATTTCTGCATAGACTCGGGATGTATTTTGTGCTCGGTACTTGTCTATTATTACCGCCCAATCGGCTAAGGCTGAACCCGATTGCGCTATCACTTTTGACACCATCTGCCGAGTTCTACAAGACAAAATATACATACGTTTAACACAAATGATATGTAAAATATACATAAAAATGAAATGCACACAAATCAGCGCGCAGTTTGTATGAACAAGAAATTTTTAAATGCACACAAAAATATTAAGGAAAATATTAGGCAATACGAAGAACTGCTTTGACTACCTATATAAATAAGATATTTCTCTTCCCTTATTTGTGATATTCACACATATCGATCGATTTTCAATTAATATATATAAGTGTCAATTTTTTTACCTCGGGGCAATCATTAATAATCCCGCACTTGCTGCTCCAGCACCTGGCCCAAAGAGCGTTATGGAATCAGGATCGCCGTTAAAGAAAGGTATATTGTCATAGACCCATTTCAGTGCCATAGCTTGATCAAGAATTCCATAGTTACCAGGACTATTCTCATCTGCAGTACTTAGAAAACCTAGAAATACAATGGAAAATATTAATTTTTTGCTAACTAATGATATACAATACTCTCCATAACTTTTTCTATACAAATACTTTTTTTCACAAACGTGTAGCATAAATGTACTTACCAAGAGCTCCAAGGCGATAGTTGATCGATACCACTACGACATCGTAGAAGGCAGCTAGTATATGAGCTGGGAACAAATTACTCGCCCCATGACTAAATTCACCGCCGTGTATGTAAAACATCACTGGATATTTATTCGCTAATCCAGAGCCGATCTATATATACAGTATATAATGTTGTTACTTAATTCATTTATTTTATTTTATTTCTTTTTTTGAACGTGGCATACTCACATAAGGTGTAAATACGTTTAGGTACAAACAATCTTCATCAACGTCCCGCACACCTTTCGTAGCACCAGTATATTCGCTAGGCTGAGGACAAGCTGGTCCCCAATCAACAGCTTGTAAAAGTGTCCACCCCCTAAATTGAAATAAATTATTTTCTTTATGTAAAACAATATTGTCAAACATTAAAAACAGTAAAAAAAGTAACTTGTAAAATATTTTTTGTTAACCTGTGAGGTCTAGGTGGTTTGAAACGACCTTCTCTGGTAGGTGGCATAGCATAAGGAATACCCAAGAACACATTAACAATTTTAGTAACTCTTTCCACTGCTATATTCCATGGTTTGTGCCTTGCAAACGGATCGTCATACAGTTGGACTCTAAATCCTTGAACTTGGCCATATTTTGTGTTCACAACTATGTCTCTATCTCTAAAATTTTTAGAATCTGGTCTTTCTCTTCCTTGAAGATCTTCGCGCCAACCAGCTAATATTCCTGGCAGTGGAAGCCTTTCTGTGGTCTGTTTAATATAACATAATATAATGTTTATATAATCTGTTTCCATTCAAATCTTTTATACATATTTTAAAACATAACTAATAAATGTATCTTTTTAAAGCTTTTATTATATTTAAAAAGTGTAATTGCATTTCTAATAAACTTCACAGTTTAATCTAGAATTTACTCAAAAATATAAATAAACAAATAATAAAACAATATGTATAAATAATATTTATTATTTTACTTAATAATCAGAACAATTTAAAAGCAACAAAGATGAAAATAACGTTAGTCAACACATAATGAATAAGAAATTATTTTTGTAACTTAAAATTATAATAAAATATCAAGCAAGTAATAATTTCAATCAAGTGTTACTTCAAGCTTTACGGTTTATGATTAATAATTATAGCGTAAATTAAGTGTGTTAATCCGGAGTAAAATGTAAACGAGCAAAATGTACTTTTTCATATAAATCCCAAAAAGCGTCTCAACTGTCATACGTGTTTATGTGATTGCGCCAGCACGAATTTTCTCACTTACTCCGTAACGATATCGATCCTCGGGTGCCCTCGTAGGTCCTCTGTAGATGGGATCCAGGTAGCCAGGCTGATAATAGCCGTACCGTCTACTATTGTGATAATAGGTCTTGTAGCCGTCTTGCGGCACGTACACTCCGTCGCGATTGTAGTAACGGCTGCCAGGCCGTACGTTGTCCTGGGCGAGGACGACGACGGCCGTGAGCAGCAGGTAGGAGACGCAACAGCGGACGACGCCGTACGCGCGTCCTCCACGCGCGTTGGCCATGTTCGGCGCGTGCGGGAGCACGCGAGAGCCGCTCTCACGCGGGCGCGCAGGTGTGGCCCGAGACTCGTCGCCGCCGCCGCCGCCGCCGCGCGTACGTCACGTCGGGACGGCACGCCGATTCGCTCTCCTCGGCGCCAACCTCGCGGCAAACGAGGAATAAACGAAAGCGAAAGTCGTCCACGCGGCCAACTTTTATCCGCTTGTCACTGGAAACGAGAGGTAGATCGATAAGCGTCGCCACACACCGAGATTACCGACGAGTATCGGCCATCGGGTGTCGCGTCGGTGGATGTCCCGCGGTGCGCGTCAACCGCGGGAATACACGGGAACACACGGGCGCGAGTGACTCGCGAGTTTCCGTCAGCGAAGCTCACTCGCGTCTCTCGATAAAACGTCGTCACGTCGTTGCGAAACGTTCCTTCGTTCGCCTTCGTCTCTCCAAGAGAGAGAGAGAGAGGAGCGTCCATACACACGACCGGCCAACACCCTATCACATCACACAGAGAGGCCCCCCTGTCACGCTCGCGCCGCGGTTACTCGCGTGGCACTTCAGGTGGCTTCGCCGTGCGCGCCGCGCGGTGCCCTTCTTCTCCCCGTTCACCGTCTCGTCCACCCGTCGATAATGCGAAATGTCACGATTGGTGCCGCGGGAGGCCCAAAGGTGGGGGTGGGATTGATAAACGGAGTTTGAAAGCGAAAGGCAACGCGCGCCGCGCGCTAGATAACTGGAAATTAAAACGCGATATAGCTTCGTCATCGAGACCTGGCGTCATTGAAATTGCGTCGACTTCCGTGATGATGGGTTAGCGTTAGAAATAATTGCGTAGCAAATATAAATATATATATATATATAGGTAGATGCGTTCAGTAATATTCGACACATATTCGAACGTAGCGGTATTTTTTTTTATTGAAAAATAAAGCGGTTTTTATTCTGTCGCGATTTAATCGAACATATTATTTCGCAATTTTCAAAGTTCGATAAGAATCTTGGATAGTTTTTGTACTTTTTTTCTAAATTTCAAATAAAAATTTAAATGGAACACAAATTAATTGAAATACAATATGGATATTTAATATTTATTTTATTTGCTTTTCGTATCCTTTTTCGTATCTCTAAAATCCCTTCTCTTATCTACTGCAGCTTAAAAATTGCTCACATTGTCTATTTCCACCATGTAGATTAACTTTAATCTCGGTTTAACTTACTCTTCATCTTTTTTTTAGTTCTAAAAATTCAAAAAAGATAAAGAGTAAGTTAAACCGAGATTAAAGTCAATTTTTATTGGTGGAAACGGGCAATAGAGTTTCCAGTCTTCAACAAAAAAAAAAACGCTATCACGTGTGATAATTGTCAGAAATTAAAAAAGTATCTTGTATTTATAACGCTTTTACACATTAACTACCATAGTACAATTAAGTAACTTTATCCCCGACACTATTTTTACATCAGTATATGTTATTTTAATATACTATTTAATTTTATTTATTTTTTTATTACAATAAAATTCTATTGTCCCTTCTCCAAAAAGCAACGAACAGCTAGCGTTTATTTACAAATTGCCAGCTGTGCATATTAATTCATATTCACACAGCAGTCAACGCATTAAATTAAATTACGTGGGATAAAAATTAACCTTGCGCGCATATTCAACAATAGAAGTGATAAATGTGCAAGAATACGCAGCAATGCGTAGAGACGTAATTTTATAGGGAACGAGACTTACGAACAACGCCAGTTTCTTAATTGAACGAAGAGACCGCAGCTGCTAGAAGAAACCACCGCCGCCGCGTTTACGGGGACCAGATGACGTGCGTCGATACGTCGATTGACTCATTCACGAATCACACTTTCCCGTTATCTCGTCGTGAGATTAGAATCGTCTGCGCGCGAATATCACGCGCGCGGGGCCGGTAATCGGCGCGAAAAATATGCAAGAGCCGCTGGGTGCTGGCTCGTGGACACTGTTCGCCGACAGTTAGGCGAAGAGTAGCCGGACCTCACTAAGCCGTAATAATAACGCCGTCGCGTGCACATACGTCGCCGTGATGGGCCGCCCACGCGCCCAACAGCAGGGGCCCATTGCGAAACGCACGATCGAGCGGATGTGCATGATCGCGGAAGAACAGGGATGCGGATGAAGGGGTAGGGTGGATGGCGATTGCTTATTGGACAAAGTTGCGTTTGAATTAATTGCGTTCTTCATATATAAAAAACCCTTGTAATGGATTAATTAAAAAATAAATAATAATACTATAATTAAGGGAGAGAGAGAGAGAGAGAGAGAGAGAGAGAGAGAGAGAGAGAGAGAGAGAGAGAGAGAGAAGCTTGAAAGTTACGTATATTTCTATATTACGTTAAATTACATTTAATATTTGATATTATATTTTTATATTGTACAATATTATATTTAATATGAATTTTAATGATATATTTCTTTGTAATAATTGATTAATATTCGCGTAAATTCAGTTTCTTAACCTTTTTTGAACAGTAATAAATACAAATAAATTCCTTCTAACTTCTGTTATTATCTTTTAAACTTGTTATTTTATAATGTTATTTTTTTCGCGATTAAGGTATTTTTAACCTGTGTTATATTAAGTTATATTTAATAGTTTTATGTTATATGCATGTATATTATGTAATATTATATTTATAATATTACAATTTTTACCGATATTTTATTTTATAATAATAGATATTTAATACTTGGGTGAATTAAATTTCTTGTAGAATGAAAACGATTTTTTATAATTTCACGTATTATTTTCTTTTTCGCGAATCAGGTCTAAATAGTACATAGAATAGTGTATGTAACTATATCGATAAATATACCGCGCTACAGAGCATCAAGATATTTTCCGGGCCACTTTATAAAAATTATACATTTTGTATAATTTCTTCATACCAAATTTTATGATTGTGATTATTGACGTAGAGGAACGATTTGCTTTTATGGAGAATATTTTACTGTTTCTGCTGTTTTTTCTGTACAGAAAATAGCGGAAATGAATGGAAATCACAGAGGAACAGATGACCTAGCTTGATTCCCCGTCCTTCCCCTTTGCCTACCGCATATTTTAATCTATGCACGCCCTTGCAAAAGAATGTCGTCGCGTGAACGGATGTGTATACCGCAATAAACGGTCGGCTCGTGCAGCTCCGCATTTATCAACAATAGCTTTAACGAGATGTTACGAGATTAGATATCGAAACCGCCGTGATGATGGTTAATAAGTATACGCACTGCACGAAACCACGCGTCTGCACTGCACATTTCATCCTGGATACGATTATTATAGGATATTAAGAAGAAAAGAAGGAAGGAAGATGCTCCTTGTTACTTTCGCTCGCACTTTAGATCCGCTTACTCCCGATCTACTCATTCTCGTGATTTTGACAAGAATCGCTCACTCTTTCAGACAAGATTCCAATCCTCACGTTTCTTGCCTTTTATCGTACATTTGCAATTCTTAATCAGCATATACTGTTATCGTTTCGGCGAATTTCAATCGCTTCTTGATGCGCGCTGCATGCCGCGCGTTTCTCAGTAACTTCCGACATTCCCTCAGATCTCTACCGCTCATTTATTCTCTCATTCATTCGTATACACTTTCAACATTCCCGTATTATTTAATCCGTTCGTTTGTAAATAAAATAGTATTTTAATTATGCAGTTTAATACAGCATATTTAATACAATTGAATCTTCGGAAATTTTTCGAATTTCCTGTTTTTTCTATAAGCGATTGTTCGCTTTGATTATTCATAAAGCCGACACTTGTCTTCGTCTTCGTATTTTCGTTTGAAGAAGAGAAGATTCTGGGTAACGCCGCAAACTCCACGACCCTCTACGTTGATCAGCAGCGATGGATGCGCGTGATTGGAATAAATTTATTTGCCATAGGGTTCATTATAGTTCGCCGATGTCGCGTCTTTTCTGCAGCTCACGCAAAACTGTCAAGCGGTTTTTATAAAATTGCTAATTCATTTTATTTCAAAATATAAAATGAAAGCTACTGCAACGTTCCTATGAATCATACATACCGCGACCGTGTGCGTCTTTATGACTCACGATTTTATCAGCTAAATTAAGTATTAATCGTTTGCCAGTGTGAATTGTGACTTGTGTCATAAGCGAAATGTAAGAAAGCGCGAACCGAGAGAGAGAGAAAGTTATTGTAAAAGTTGGAAGACTGTTAATTATAACATAAAAAACCGTTAAAGTGCAAAAAATTGAGATCGGTTCTTTCAAATAGGAAATGAAGTTATACATATAATAGAACCTAATAAAGTTTATATAATAGAATCTATTTTCACAGAGGGTTAAGTATTAAATTCTGCAAAAGAGTTATTAATGGAGAAACTTTCAACGTGAAAAATCTTCCATAAATTCTGCGAGAGATGGTCACTTATGAGAAAGTACTTCACCAAGTGCCGCGCCCATTTCCGTAATGCCCTGTAATAATCAATAGATACGTAGCAATAAGTTAATAATAATCAGGAACATGAATAATTCAAAGGCCGACCGAAAGACTGCATTAAGTACATCGAGTTTATAAGTTCTAGTTTATAGTGAATATTTCATCAGAAGCAAAGGAGGAATTGTAGGAATATTAAAGAGGAGAATTTCGATTGTACGATTTAATCGCAAAAATAAAACTTGCAAGAATTATGCAGAGTTTGTATTGCACTAATCTTATTAATGTACTAATTGACTTAATTAACACAGTTTGAATCGAATCGACATAACACAGAGTACTTACATAATTAGTGAAAATATTGATCATTATTTCTGTGAAAATCCTTCCTTTGATTATATTTGATCGCAATTAATTCGCGTACCAGGACCAATATCAATTATTTCATTCTCCAAGAAAATATTCCGAACATGTATGTGCAACCGATTTATCATGATAAAATTTCTCTATCAGATTTTAAAATTCATTAAACCGTAAAATAAAAATATTGATTGTATTTAAAGACGCGTATTACGAGGAAAGTGTTCGAAAGCCAATATAACGATACAAAGCGAATGCCCTTTCGCTCGTCCTACTCCCCCGCGCATAAGTTCTTCAATTTACAGTAATTGGTGAATTTATTACCGTTCCAGGCTCTCCTTCGCTCTCCTACGTCAGTATAGTGCCGGGGAAGAGTTAAATAGCTTTAATTACGGCGGCTTATCCTCTCTTAGAACCCGTCAAGCTGGAGCTCCCATTGTTATTGGACGAGATAAAATTTGTCAGATACCAGAGTTATAAAATAAGATAATAATGATTAAGCAAACTGCTTTACAGAAATTGGAAGAATAAGTCTATAAAATTTAAAAGGTCAATGTTATAAATGTAAAAGTCTAATTTGAAGAAACAGTCATCAAGAATAAAATCGAAAGATGAAAAGTAAAAAGTAATATTAAATACATAAATTCTCGTATTATATAATTAAAAAATATTTAATATTTAATTTCTTTAATAAGATTATTTATGACTATTTTTTTTAACATAAAGCAGGAAAAATTAATTACAAAAAACTTTCAAAAGAGACATCTTATACAATTTGAGAATAGATTGTGATTGAAGATGTTAAAGATGTTATATGTACGACACTTAAAATTAACAAATCGAACTTTTCTATCAAGCCACTTCATTCACGGTACTCTTTTTATTGTTACATTGATGCCAGTCCCGCGAGAATTTGCATTTCTATATCGAAATATTGGAATTAAGTACATAAACCAGTTTATCGTACTTAGTTTCTCAGGACATGGATAATCACGAACATGGTCACCCATGCATCGAATTTGCCTTTTTGTCAATTGAGTAAATTGTCGACTTGAACGATCATATATTCATGAAAAATCGATGTCAGGAATGTGCGCGTATATATAAAGCGATTCTCAAGGTGACCGACCACGTCCGACATTCGTCCGCGAAGTTGATCTAAATGTACGCCATTATGCTCGCTGTTCATGCCTCGTCGCGCGTACATCCCTTTTTTGTGGGAGCGTGGACATATACGGATGCTCTTTGAACTCGTGGGAATAAGACCCACCACTGCGTGCCAGGCACATGCGCCCGCGGCGTTTTATATATCTATTTACTTTATTTTTATCACTCGTAGACGGCGCGACGCGTGACGCTGACACGTAAATATACGGGCGCACGGCTAATGATGCGCGCGTTTAAGCTTAAGTATCTTAATTAAAGGTAATACGCGTGATGCTATTTCTAACAGCTTTCATTATAATACCCGTCTACTTTTCCGTCGCCCACCCCTCTCATTCACCATTTTGTGGATCCCGAATACGTTGCTCCATGAGGAAGATAAAAGTAGCGCTCGCTCAACAATTACCGTGAAAAGATTGAAATACATACATATGTATACTTATGTATCTAGATCACCGTTGTGATCACTTCATCGCGGCAACGCTTTACGATAACAACCAAATGCAAAGCACATACACACATAATTTGCATTTGATAAATTAATTATTAATTTATTTCAATTTTAAATCAAGGTCTAAAAATGACAACCTTGTTTCATATCGCTATTCTTTCTTTTTTTGTCATTAAAATCAGATATTGTTGTGAGATAAAAAAGTTTTGTAAGTAGGCGTTAATTATACATATGAAGGATGTAGACGTTATTTATAGTTAAAATATATTGCTACATTATATCATTTTACGATATTCCTGATACACGTACTTCATATCAGAATGTATGCGGTTTACGTAAAAAAATTCAACGTGATTATCACACTTTAGTTCCAAAAGTTACAGCTATGATTTATCTTATCAATTTCAACGTTTCATTACTCAGGTCATTCGTACCTGTTATCCTTATCCAAAGGCACAGTATGATAAGAAAAATACTACAAAGCAGATGAAAAAATTTCTTGATCAAAACTTAAGAACAGCGAACTACAATACTGAAAATATTATTCTCTATATCATCCATTTATAAAATAGAAAACATTTATTATAGTCAATAAATTGGATAACTAGATTAATATTGTTAAAAATAGTATATTTCTATTAATAATTGTATAACTTAGTTATGCTATGTATATAATTGTATAACTTAATTATTCTAAAATAATTTTCTAAATTATAGCAGCATTTTAAAAGGAAAAGAAAATTCAGAAATATAAAAAAAATATTTTAGAGATATCTTTATAAAGCATTTAATAAAATAAAATAATTATTTAAGATTAATAATGTAAAACAAAGCAAAGGAGAAAAAAATTAAATTATGTAATTAAAATTATAATACATAATTAAGCGTAATATTGCAAATGTTCGATTCCTCTTTCTTCTCGGATAAACTTCTTATAAATAAGTAATTTATACTTTCTGTATTCAAAAGTATTTAATTATAAAAAAATCGACCATATTTTATTGACGTACCTGATTGTATAAAAAAGCAAAACCGAAAGTCAACGTTCTCTGCGCTTGAAAAAAAATTAAAGTATATTACACGTAAAGTTAGAAGTGTCCGTGCACAGTGTCAGTGTCAGTGGTACGATGTCGGTGATGGAGGAGCCTGAATGCAGCTCTACAGATGCACCGACACGTAGGGAATAACGGTTGAAGAGAGGGGGTGGTGCGGTGGTGGTGAACGCGCGCTCCACACTCTCTAGTTTGCAGGGCCCACTTGTTCGCCACTACGTCGGCGTGTCACTCGCGAGCGCGTTGCCGGTGCGGCAACATCGAGTGCGTTCTCCTTCGACTGACCGCGCTCATCCCCGGGTTTTGTTCCACTCGAGAGAATCGCCGGGAACCGCACCGCCACGATACCGGAGGAACGCGAGGAAGAACAGTCGGTTCCTAATTTCTATCCGGAGATCCAAAAGTGGTTGAGAGTGGAGAACGCCGATCTTAGTGAATTAATTTAAATAAAAGAAGAGTGCATGTGACAGTCGCATCGTCGGAGAACATGTTCTGAGAGTTTATCCCTCGCGTGTCGTGTCGTTTTCTTTTTCTTCGCTCGGTGATCGCGAAACAAAGGGACCGAGAATGGCGAACGAGACGTTGGCGCGCGAGGTGGACGCGCACATAGTCACTATCCTGTCGAGGCTGTCGGCCCTGCGGGAGAACAATACCGACGTGACTGACAGAAAAGTGCCCATGTCCATCGAGTTACGCAGTCTGGAGCTGTGGCGAGCGGTGGCCGTCGAATGCCTGGCCACGTTCCTCTTCAGCCTCGTGGTGGCCGGCGCGGCCGCCGCCTCCGCCGTATCCGGAAGCGGCCTCTCCGCGTTAGCCACCGCTGTAGCTTCCGGTTTCGCCATCGCCGCGATCTCCCTCATCTTCAGCCACATAAGCGGTAAGGGTGCTATATATAGTAATATTTTCACGAGGGATGAAAAATAGAGGGTAATGTACTCGCACATCTCGTGAAACTTCAACATTTGATTAAAATCTTGAAAGTTTTCAAGATTAATCCTCATTTTTATAATGATCAGTTTAAGAGTTAGCTATAATTTTAACTTTAACTTTTCAGTCTGTTTCTACTTATAGATCTAAAAAAAAAGCGATGCATTAAGTCTCTCTTAAATATATCTTTAATACTTCTTTCTTTCATTTTATATACAAATTTTATATTTTTTATATATCAATATATGTCTTTTGACGCATGTAAAATGAAAGAAGTATTAGAGAGCGTTATTTCGCATTTATGTACAATCCTATTCGATTATTGCATTTCAAACAATTAATTTTTATGCATAAATATTTATAAATGCACTCATTGCATTCGCATCTGACGATTCGCTTGATTTCGACTCACGCGCGTTTTATGTCGCGTCTGCGAGGCTTCCGTGCAGCGCGTCTCCTAATACAAAGCGTTCAGAGGGTAATTACGCAAAGAGTCGCGAACTGCTCAATGCGACGATCTCGTTGTGTCAATGATTCTGTTCCTTCTTGTACGTTCGTATCGTTCACAAGCGACGGCCCTCGCGATTTCTCTCGATTGGCTCGTTAACCGATTACGCCGGCGCGGCGCGGCCGACATTTATCCGCGTGCGTTGTGCGTGTCTGTCGGAACGTATGTGGGCACTCTCGGAGTACGTTCCGCCGGCACGCACGATACGCGGACATACGATGCGTATAATAAACTCTCGGGCGTCTCGTACTATAATATACCGGAAACCCGATCGCGTTTGATCCCGGCTCGCTATCGTTTTACCGAATGAACGCGGCGAATGACGCGCGCGAACTCGCAATCCTGCCGCGGCGCTCGTTGAGCGATCGTTTGTTAACAACAATCAATTCTATAATCTGTATCGTGGAACGAAATATTTAAAAATAAAAAAAATTCGCGCTTGAAACGCGTCGATCCAGCGGTATCCTTATTTTTCGCCCAGCGAGCGAATTATACGAAGTGCATTATTCTTATCCGGCTCATCCGAGCCATCGTCGCCGCAATTGAGCTCGTCAGTTTTATAACTCGTGTCACCCAGCCAGTTATTTCTTCTTGGATTTATTAACGTTATAATTTTTAATCGTAAAAAAACACGAATTCGAGATGAAAGTCACTGGAATTAAGCGTCGATCAAACGGCAGGGCATAAGTCGAGAGAAGAATCGCGCAATCTCCCTCTGTCTCCCTTTTGATTCTTTTCTCCTCTTTATATGGAAAACCTTTTGCACGCAGGTGGACACGTGAATCCGGCGGTCTCGGTATCGTTTGCTTTGTGCAGACGGATTTCCCCGCTTCGCGCGGTGCTGTACGTCGCGGCACAATGCGGTGGCGGTATAGCCGGGGCGGCGATGCTCTATGGGTGAGTTTCATCTTTGAGAATCAACATATCTCACTAGAGAATAATTCAGTCGGTTGCGCAAGATTGGTTTGAAGGCGTCAAGAATCGTTGGATAAGTTTGTTTGTTGAAAAATTCGCCCCGCAAAGCGGTCACTCCGTCTTCGTTTGGAATGATCAACAAAATAATTAACGGCCGAGAGCACAGCGAAGATATTAAATATTATGCGTCATGCAGAAGTTCTTCGTTATCTCTATTTCTCAAGAAATTTCTGCAAGATTTTATATAGCAAACGCCGCGTAATCTTTTTTTCTAAGAAAAAAAAGTGTGAATCCATCAGATTTTAATCAATTTTAATATAAACTTCTAAAATTCGTAACACAATCGACAAGTAGATTTGCATTGAGTCCTTAAATTGTTCTAATATCTAATCGCGAATTTAATTAGCAGAATATAGGAGCAATTTTTAATTAGCCGTGCAACAATAACGAATAATAGTAACAAAACATGGCGTTATCCGACGTGTAAAGTAGCGTGGATCCTTGGCGTTCGGCAGTGTTAAGATCGGGATGAGATACACTGCTCTCTGTGAGGACAGCTGCTAGATAGGAGAACCAGGAAGGCATGTGGCCCATCCAAAGCTGGGCCGAGTTTTCTTCCAAGTGTTCGTGCAGCGGCCGGTGGCCTGAGCGAGTTTCGGGAGGGACTAAATAATATCCAACATCGTGATTTCTGTTTCGGCCATGCGTAACGGCGAGCACGTTTTCTTTGATGATTTCAACGCTTTGTGCACGCTTTTCTTTGGTAATTTTTAAAACGAAATTTTTAAGAAACGTATCGTATAGTGATAACAAAATGTTTCATTGTTATGGGGGTGCGAAAGGCGCGTAAATTATAGGACGCAATGAAAACATCACGCTTAAAAACTTGCAAGTTTAATCCTTTTTTTTTTAACGTACGCAATGAATTCGACGGTAAAGTTGCGAGGATCAGGATTTCTTGCAGACTGTAAAGAATATCACACGTATCTTGCAACCGCGACCGTAGATAAGTTTCCTCCAACATGCGGAACATTTCGTATCGCATAACGTAAACAGCGTTCGTCGCCAGGTATATAACGGTTTCACGCATGATAATATACTTCTTACGCAAGCTTTGTGACGTGCCGACACATCGTGAATACGGAGTGCAATAAAAGTACGGCCCATTACGACTTCGTTCCGAGGCATGAATATCCCAATTCGCCGCAGAAATGTTATGATGTACGAACACCTCCGGAGCGAGTCTCACTTAAATAGCCCCCTCGATATGTATATGCAAGTCGGTGCACGTGCTTCGATCTCGCCCGTGGGCAGACGGCTTCCATCCCGAAGGGCGAGAAAAAAATAAAAGGGGAAAGGCGGTGGACGTGTGTGTGTGTGTGTGCGCGCGCGCGCGCGCACACGCGCGTGTGTAGCTGTGCGCTGGACCAAGAAGCGGCACATCTCGTTCGGGGGAGTGCGAGTAGATCGTCCTTACGAAGCGGCAGCTGAGAAAGTTGAAAGAGTGCAAGGAGCGTGAAACGAAGCGAAGAGCAACGGGCAAGATGAGAGAAAGGAAGAAAGGGCGATATGAGGAATGCCTGAAATAATTGCGCCACGTTTAATGCTCGTTTAATTTGTAGAGATGTTTAAAGACCGGGAAAACGTGTGATATCACTGTAATATACAGGGAACGAAGTCTCGCTTGAAAAGAATCGGCAATAAGGTCTTTCTCTTTTCTTGAAAATTAACTAGAAGATGAGAGCGTATTAAATCGCTCGAAGGAATGCAACAAGTTGGCACGAGAGACGCGCGAAATAAGGGAAATTAAGATTCCTTCTCCGAAGGCGGAGAGAAGACGCGTGGAAAGGAGGATAACGTTGTACCATAATTAACAGGTATCGAATGCTGTCGGAAATATATAATTCCACCGAAAAACGTGGAGCATATACGTTTATTTAAACGCAATAATTTTCGAAGCTTAATAATGTAAATAAAAATAAATTGTGAAGGAAAGGTGGAGTGTGCTAACTAAGACGCTCGAAGGAATGTAAGAAGTTGGCACGAGGACAACAGAACGAAGGAGATCGAAGTCGGGTGATAGGGAAGGAAGGGGACGGACGGGAGGATAAAAACGGGAGCGTGCAGGAGGGAGGATAACGAGAGAAGGTGAGAGAAAAACCGACGGGGTGGCAGAGCGCGGAGGGCGAAAAAGGAAAGAGAAAGACAGCGGCGGCGCTCGTAAGGGCGAGGGACGGAGAAGCAGCGAGAGGAGTGGGAGAGGCAGAAAGAGGCACGCGTAATTGGCAGGCGAGGGAGAACCTCTCGGAAGGTGAGCACCTGCCTCGTACGAGAAGCGGAGTCCCGGCGGCGGTCCACCGCCTCGCAGCTGCCGCAGATGTTTCCCCGTGGACCAAAAAAGATCGCGCGGAAAAAGGAACGCGCGAGGCGGCGCGGCACCGCCGGGCGAGGAGAGGACGAGGATAATGAATACCTATATGCATGTACACCACCGAGGTGGGACAAGTTTCACGGCATCGGGATCGGGCAGGGCAGATCGGCCCGTGAAGGAGGACACGGCGTACCGCAGAGAGCGTTCGGAGAGTCGAGCGGCGCGGTGGCGCGGCACCATCGCTGCCGAAGCAGATGTTCCCGCCGTTGCGGAGATCATTGTCCGTTCTTCTCCTCTCTGTCTCGGCTCTTCGGCTCCTTTCTTCGGCCGTCGAGCGAATGTATCTCACCAAATTTGGCTTTACCCTTCGCGTCGCGTGTCCGTGCTCGGCGCCTGTTTTTGGAGTACTTGGATCACAGATGAAATATTTGACTTCCTTACCTCAACAACTTTAAAGCTATATATAGTCGAAAATTCCGATCAATCTGCATTACAGATGATGTTAGCCATTTTCATCATTATGTAAGAGTTCTAATATATACATTTAATTTAATTTACTTTTATTTTTTTATTATATCTTTTTCAATTTTATATCAATTTATCTAGCCAATTATTTTTCATGCAGCAATTTGATATTTCACTATATATGGTAATATATCAGTATCGACAAAAAATCGTACGTTTTAAAATAAATAATGTATTTGCATTCGTCCTCCGGCATGTCTGTTTTATCTGCACTCTTACTTTTTTTACGATACATCTTTTCTACTGAATTGATACATATCGGATTTATTGGCTCGATAACATGCATCAGCTGCAGAAGTCATTAATATTAATGAGCTCCTCCTTGTAGAGGCAAGTAGGCTTGCAAGGAGATCTGCTATTTTCGTATTTTTGTCCTGAAAAAATAATCTGCTATCTATTTTTTTTTAGATATTTTATTATTTTACGATTTATCGGTTTTTATAATCTGTATCCAAGTCATGAATTATGAAATCCTTAATCCTTGTTTGTATTATCTCTTATTTTTTTCTGCTCATCCATGCGAAGTGATGCTGCGCGTTTCTATATATCTCGTTACGTTTTCCCTCTCGTATGACACTCGCCTGGTCACCCTCCGACCACCATATGACCGCACAAAGAGGTAACAAGTGCGCGATATGTACCGAAATAATAATCGAACAATACTCTAGTTAACCGGACGGGGCCAACGGGGCCCTTTCCCGAGATGTCTCGAGGGAATACCGGCGAGCTTGGTACAGAAAAAAAAGTCGGGGCGTGAGATCGAGAGACAGAGAGAGAAAGAGAGAGGGAGAGAGAGCGAAAGAACGGAGAGTGCACTTGCATCTGTTACGACTTCGTTGGTTAACGGCGGCGGGTGTAAAACACGCGTGGAGGCGATTTCCGGGAGGGGGTGGAGGGCTGAAAAAGGGACTGGGAAAAGGGGGGGAAGAAGAAATTATGGGGAACCACCGAGGGATGGGCTTTGGCGTCCCTATCGTCCTCGTCCTCGTTCAGGCTCGTTCTCGGTGCCGACCGAGCGCCGCGCGCGCGAGGTAATAAATATAAAAACCATCCGATAAACCCCCAAAGTGAGACTATCCGGGTCGAAAAACGGGATGGTAGAAGAGGGTGGAAAAAAAATAGTAGAACCGGCAGCCGCGAATTTAACTATCCGTGAAGAATTTACTGTCATCTCTTCATTACGCGCACTTACAAGATTCTTCCATTACTGCGTCGGCTGGGGAGTAATTTTTTTCCCGCGAGAAAAAGGATGAAATACTTTATTTATAAAAGTTATTCTGCTCACGCGTTAAAATAAAATCCGGGATCTCTCGCGTTTATTTAAATAAACTGGGCACGTGCTTAGAGTTAATACTTTTGAGTGCTCCTTATAAAGCAATCGAGATAAGCAAAAGTAATATTATTACATAATATACAAATAAAGAAATATGTTTCTATTTTGATTTTATATATGCTCTAAAGTTATAATTTATATCATTAATTTTAGAAAACAGATGTTGAAGTCTCTCATGTTGAAGTCGATTGTGAAAATGTTGGACAATATATTTGTGCTTTTAATTTAAGTATCCCGTAATAAACCCAGTGAAATATATAAAATATTAAATAATTAATGAAGAAATGTTTAATTTCGTTTTTCCGATTATCAGAGATTATTGCGGATTAGGTGATTCGGAGTTACATACGTTTTGAAGGAAGTTGTCCTTTATTCCGTTCGCGAAATTGGATGCGTCAGGGATTAGTCTATTGAAATGTCGAGACACGTGCGCCAGGTAAGCACGATATAAACGGGCGTCTTTTCAGATGAGGTTTTCCCTCGATATTCTCAATCGATAGGTTTCCAATCTGCCGAAGGTAGACCTAGTTCCTCCGGCGGCACCCCCCCTAAAACTACGGGGCCGCCAATAAAGTTCGGCTTACGGCGCTCCGTAATCTATGCAAAGCGAATCCGCTCGAATAATTTCTGCCCGAATATTCCGAGGTCGGCGCGAAACGCATTCGAGAATATGACTCTCGTAGCAGTGATAAAACCGGTGCAATCGTGCAGAAAGATAAAAGTCCTCGGACCCTGCGACCTAAGGAAATCGTC